AAGGCGCCCCATAGCAGGTTAGTGGTCCGGATCAAGATAGAACCGAAGGCAGTAGTCCACTGCAGTCTGGGGATCACCTCAAGCATCAGTCAACACACTGGACACTCATGTTGATGCCACCAACCTTATCACCAACACCATCAACCTCATTATCATCAACACCCACCAACCTTATCACCAACATCATCAACCTCATCATCATCAACACTCACACCAGACCTTGGTGTCATCACAACCTATGCATTGATATTGATCGTGCTGAGCTACCCCTGAATGGAGTGTCCACAGAGGTCAGCTGAAACCTACAATAGTATATACAATGAACACCACCCACTGTCATTGCGCAACTTGATAGTTGCCAAATGACTAGCTTGTCTTGACCGACACTGAGACAATAGCTGTCGCACAGTTTGATAGTCACTGAGTATCTCGACAGACCGACCTGGGTTTCAGGCGCGAGACCCCTGACAGCGTTTTTACTCAAATTCCCTCCAAAAATAGGGGGTTTCAGTTATCTCTGAGTTTTGAAAACACAATACTTTGAAAATATGTTTGGGCCCAATTTTTGACGCCCCAAGAAACTGCACAGGCCTGTGACACATGCATCTTGGAGTTTCACTTGACTCACCCAGTAAAAACAATCTCTGATTCCCTACACCAGGTCAAGATCAAAGTGATCATATCAGACATTGTTGAACAGTATACTGAACAATGCCAAAACCTTTGATTGAAAAGCTAAAGCAAATAGCTTACATCACACCTGTTCTGATCGCTGTCTTCTGCGAGCCTCATGCCATCGGTTTTGTCTCTCCTGCCATTCGGCAAAGGCCAATGTTGTCATTCCCATCCTTTGAGATTCTGCTGTTGTGTCCTCAAAAGGGCGGCCATGAGAAGCAAAGAGTGCAGTGAGCATCTCCTCCCTAAGATCCAGTGCTTTCTCCTGCCTGAACTTCTGGACTCGGTTCTGAGACATGCCCTCCATGGCAGCAGCCTGTTCCTGTTTGTATTGCTGCTGGTTTTCCCTTCGTTGTATCCTTGCATCTTCGGTAGCCTGCTGATATGCTTCCATCCCTGATGTGGTCTCCAGCACCTCAGCTTCAGATAGAGTTTCTGATGCCTTAAGGTATTCTGCCACCTCATCTGGTCAATCATAACGGCTTGCGAATGTATGTGCAATGATACAAGCCTGGACCGTATGTGCAGCTTTCTCGTGGTCCTCTTCTTGATACAGGTTGCCTCGAAATCCCATGAGACATTGGAAGCAGTTCTTGAGGTAGGCAATGCCATGTTCGGCCTTGACACGAATGCAGGAGAGTGAATAGTTGAAGTAGTGGAGATCTCTGCTCTTTGCAGCTGCAGTGTTGCTGTATGGTCCAACTGTGTAGCTGGAGTAGCCATAACCAGCATCAACCCAGACAAACTCGCCTTCATCAAGATGCAAACGAGGCTTTGCAACAATACCACTGCCTGAAGCCCAGACTTGCACATCATGTGATGACCCAGGATGTCCAACCACCGACTCAACAATGCACAAGGAATGAGGGAGGAAGACAAGGGCAATGTTGAATGTATAATCACCCTTGTATGAGTAATGCTCGCAAGCATTGAGTGCTGGCTTCCAAGCAAGATTGATGTGTGTACCATCTACCACCAACCATCCTCTAGACCATTCCTCGACTCCACTCTTATCAGCAACCCATGCTTTTGCCTTAGCATGCTTGTCTTCAGTTGCAAAGGTTACTACCTCGCTGTTCAGCTCATATAGGCCTGCAATAGTCCTATCTGTCCACACATGAACTGAGCCCCAACTGCAACCACAGGCAAATGCAACATCACGAACTCCACCACCATTTCCTGACTGTCCAAGCCAATATAGACCAACTGCCACTTGCTGCTGAACATGCCGAAAGCTTGATATTGATCTGAAGGCATTGGTTGTGCTGAGTCTGTAAGTGAGAGCTTGGAATGCATCTGGGGTCATGCGAACAGCCCCTCGAAAGAGCTTGCAGTTGATGACAGCATATCGATCAAGCATGTTGATGAGGGGATCCTTTCGTTGCGGCAGTTGAAGGCGTTCAACTGTGTATTGAGACTGGCTGATGATGTTGTAAGTCCTGATGAGCGCAAATGAGATAGCATGATCGAACATGTCATCATCAGAATCTTCAAGGCCATCATTAGGGTGCCAAGTGGCATCAACATCCATCAGATCAAGTTGCATCTTGGATTCCACCATCAATGAGTGCATGATGGTGGTCTCAATGTCATCCAGGAGGTGCTGTTTGTCGGAAGTGCACACCATGGTTGAAGTAGAGGGCCAGAAATAGGAGAGGATGATGTGGTCCGAAAGAGAGTCCAAAGCTACAAACACAACACAGCTGAGTTCTGCACAGCTGGGTTCTGTGCAGCTGATTTCTGTGCAACATGCATGCTCGGAACCGGGGCTACACCGATCAGCATCTTGTATGTGGAACAATTCATCACATTGAAGCAATCTACATTTGAGAGATTACATGGAAGACTGGGTATGGGGTATGCTAGTCATACATATTGAGAGCTAGCTTTACAGAGAGCAATGGTACAACAAGTCGGAAACACAGGAACAGAACTTGGAGAACTCAAAAGGAACACCATTCTTGCCAAATGGTCTACTCACGAGCTGAATTGCTATTGTCCTGCTGATCCATGGCAAGAACCAGTGGGTCAAGATCAAGATTGCTTTGACTACTTCCAGCAATGTTGCCAAAGGGTAGATTAGGGTTCATCATCTGCACCATCTCCATGAGCTAACCATGCTCTTCAGTTTGCATGTGCTCTTGTCTCTCACTTTCTTCCCTGGCAAATTGAATGCACATTTCCTCCCTCTTCATGCATCCCTCCTCAACCTTGATTCGTGCCTGAAGCATGTCTTGGGTGCAGGCCCACACAATTTCCGACAGCTCTTCTCGCTTGCTCTTGGAAGTGAAGGGTCGAGACTTCTTGGGTGTTGTACCTGTGGCTGGAGAATGGTAAACAGAGTCACCATCACCATTGTCCACTTCATCAGCCTCAAAAGCAGTGCTGGATGAGTGCTGGCGGGTTGGAGTGTCTATAGGGGTAATGGTGAAGGGGGTGGGGCCAATCGAAGATGGGTTGGATGAGGAAGAGAAGGGCGAGCGGGATGAAGATGAAGCAGCAGCTGGGGTGGCTGCAACCGAAGAAGAAAAAGATGAGATAACTCTTGCTCCAATGGGATCATTTTGCGACTCCTCAAGAATGGATTCCATGCCAGGAATGTTGCGTCACTGAGGGTAGTGAGCATCGCTGGCATCATCCATGTTCACATTGGCATCAACCGAGTTATTCTGAGAGGAGGCAGGGGTGGCATCATATGGGTGACCAGTGAGAAGAACAACTGGACCAGTCTGTGCACAGTTGGTCATCATCTTGTGCCAGTGCTCAAACCAAGGGCAGCTTCAAGCAATCGATTTGCATGTGGCATAGTCCTGCAAGTTGATAAAGAAGCATAGACAGAGATATAAAGTATAAGAATGTTGGCACACTTAACATGAATCAACTAAGTTGTACTTACCGAGCTGTTGTGATCCATGTCTTGAAGAAGTACTCCAGCACCAGTCTGCTGTGAGATGGTCTTCTTGATGTTGTTGTATTGTTCAGTGAGCCAGCGAATCTTAGTCTTTACTCAACCAGCACCACCAACAGTGGACTCGTCTGGGAACAGCTCCTGCCATATCTGCCTGCAGATAACATCTTTGTTTGTCTTCAGACCCTTTTCCTGTTCTGCAGTCAAACGTCCTGGCAATAGAACACGTTGGTAATGATCATTATTGTAGATAATATCAACGAGGTTATTTATGTCGCTAGGCGACCAATTGAAGTAGGCAATACGATCTGTTTTGTTGAACCTGCTGCCACGAGTACTGGCTTGATGTCTGTGAGTTGCAGAGATTCGAGTTGGCTGGGTAGAGGTTTGGTGAGGCAAAGAACCAGCAGATGTGGTGGCGTTGGAACCAGAAGGAGTGGAGGAGGACAAAGGGGAAGCAGGAGAGGTTGCTGGCTGAGTCGACTCAGCCCCAGCCAAGGTGCTGGAAGTTGCAGAAGGGTGGCGCTGACGAGAGCAATCAAGGTTGGACTGAGCTGACATTATTGTGTTGTGCTGCAAAGCAGTTGAAGACTGCTCTGATGCTGGAGCCAATCCAGAGGCTCGCTGCAAAGCTGTGAATAGTGTAATGTTGTTGATATGGTCGTGAGGGGATGGCATGTCCATGTCCTGGCACTGACAGGGAGGAAATGCTACTGGAGATGGTGATAGAAGTGAAGCAAGGACAGACGTAACTCAAAGCGTGAGAAAGTGTAGACAGTGCAGAAAGTGGAGGTCAAGGGTTGTGTGCAGAATTGTGTTAGAATCACATGATATCAGCACATGACAAAAACTCCTGCTGAAAACTCAAATATTCAGAAACCCAGGCTCATGGCAAAAATAAGTAGGGGTTTTCAAAACTTCTGAGCTTTTCTTTCCTGGCAGAGCTTACTTAAGCAGCAAGCTTTCAAAATCCAAAAAAACCATGAAAACTCGGAGTTTTGAAAACTCAGAGAAAACTGAAACCCCCTAATGCGCTTTTCAAAAAACCCGCGTTTTTAAAAATGCAAAAACTTTGATACCCCCTCCTCTCTATTTTCAAGAGCTGCAAAAAAATTCTCTTCAACTTCAACTACTCTCTCGTGCGAATACTAGCCGCACAAGAATGCTCAATCGAAATCTTCTCGCGCGAAAACTAGCCACACGAGAAAGTCTGATACCTATCTTTCAAATTTTTGCTTGTACGGTGCGCATGTAAGATGAAAGCTCAGCTCGGATTCATCATCATCACCATCATCATCACCACCATCATCACTACCATCACCATAACCACCACCCACGACACGCTTTCTCTGGCCACAATCTTAGGTCTACTCAATATCGGCTAGCATTTAGTGTGCTTGGGCTTCACCATTCCATCATGTCGTCTTCACCACCCTCGCATTCGCCAAGCTCCAGTAGCAGCAATGCACCATTGCCAGGCTTTAAAGAACAATGGTCTCAGCTCAACGAATTACTTCCGCCATCTTCTGATGACAACCAAATCATCTCAACATCATCACCTCTTCTTCTCGAAGTCTCTGCAATGTTGCATGATCGACTCAGCCATTTCGAATGTAACAAATGGCCTCTGGATCGCATCTACGAGTTTCTCGATTCTTTTTTCAAATCCCACCCTAATTTGCATCATCGCAGCCCCCAGTCAAAGCAGGTTGCCGATCCTACCACGCCTGTCAAGCCCACTTCAGCGCTACCCCAACAAGCTCTCGAGAATACCCCTCGCACCGTCAAGGCAACAAGTCTTCTAGCTCAGCTCAGACGCATTGAAGATTGGGATTTTCTCATCAGCTTTCACAAAATGGCTTGCGATATGTATAGTAGGCATAAATCTTGGAATCCTGGCCAGCTCAGTTCAATAGTCGACTGCCTCATCAAACACCAGTCTAGGTTTTGCACAGTCATACCAGAGCTCAAAGACATATTCAACAATGTTACCCCTGTCGTTGACCAGCTTGCCACTGTCTACAACAACCTCACCTCGCGATTCCCCACTTTCAATAGCCCCGACCAGGCCCTTGCCATGGTCATCGTTCACCTCGCACAATCGCATGTCAAGCACTCCCAAGATCCAGAGGTGATCGGTACCAGCATTCATCTTGAAAACAGGTTTTATCGACCCTACTGTGGTGACGCACCCAATCGCTTCCTCACCTTTGTCTCTCACCTCAATGCTGTCTATGCCAAACTCGATCCAAATGAACCCAAGCCTTACTTTCGCGGCACCCCCATCGTTCAGTCGAGTGGTACAGGCAAGACACACATGGTGTATGAATGTCAGCAACGAACCCCCCTCCTCTACGTCTGCTTTCGCAACAGAAGCGCCGAGAGCAACGCCAAGGCTGGCTATCCACTCCCAGACCAAGGCATCCGAACCTACTTTGCCAATGCACAGAGCAAATATTCCAGCAGGTGCGACCTTCAAGTGGCCTGCTTCCTTCGTGCCTGATTCACCACGCTTGCCCAAGCATTGAGACCTTGGAAGACCGACGCCGAAAAGTATCAACATCTTTGCGATCTCAATCGATTCGAACCAGTCACCCGTGACGATGGTCTGCCCAAGCCTCTTGACCGCTATCCCTGCAACAACCACTTCAAGGCTATATCCGAGCTCGCAGAGAGCGATCTCCCAATTGTACTCAAGCTCGTAGAGGGGAAAGCTTCCAAATCCTTCCTAACACCCAGTTACAAAACGATCTTTGACGTGGCTCTCCGGCAGCCTCTTATCGATCTCAATGAGCAGCTAATTGCCGTGTCGCGTCATCTGCACTTGGGTCAAGCCGAAGTGCCAGTGCCTCCAGTGCTGGTAGCCTTTGACGAATGCATCGAAATGATTGTCACCGAGCCCAACGCGCCCAACAATCAGCTCAACAGCCTCCGCCGTGCTTGGAACTACATTGGCACGCTCCAGGATGAATACAAGACTTTGTGTTTCTGGTTGGTACTCATGAGCACCAGCAGCAGTGCCGCTTATCTCGTCAAACACGTTGTCGATCAGGCCTCGCTCCGTCGAAGGAACTTGGCGCCTTTGCATACGTTTGTCGGCGTCGGTGTCGATGTGCTCGCCGAGGAGCAACGTGCCCTCTCCTGTGCCTCGCAGGCATCCTCGCGTGACCACCTCATCCGATACGGATGGCCACTCTGGCCTGCACTCGAGAGTGGCAACTTCTGGGACAATGTCCTTTTCAAGCTTCAAGGCAAAGAGGATTTCTCCGCAGACAACACGGCACAGTGCTTCAGTGTCATGGCCTCGCGGCTTGCCCTTGGCCTTGTTCCGGTGCATGAAGGCGGTGGCGCCCTCTTTGGCGAGCAAAAGCTCTTCATGGACAAGACCATGGACCGGCACATGCGTATGGTGAGCCGCATATCCAATGATGCCACCATGTATGTCAATTCTCCGTCGGAACCTGTGCTGGCAATCGCTGCCTCGCTCATCATGTTGTGCACTCGCGCAAAAAATGTTGGGTCGAAGCCAGTTGACATGTACAGCTCCATCATGGGAAACTTCCAAGGCCGATGCCTTGTGGACTCGGCAATCGCCGGATTCAAGGGGATGTATGGAGAGCTAGCCTCGCGCATGGCCTTGGTTGTCGCCTGGGACGCAGCAAAGCGCAAAGAGCTGGACGCGCTCAAGCAAAAGATAACACCGGAGCATGTCAAGGTGCTGACCCGCGCGGTGCCTCTCGAAACCATCCTTTCAGAGCTTGCTAACCTCGACAAGACCAATGCTAACCAATTGCGCCAACACGTTGAAAGAGTGCAGCAGGACGGCTCGTCCACCCGTCCGGCACTGCAACGACCGCCAGCTGGAACATCGGCAGCAGCAGCATCAACAGTGGCGTGGACCAACTTTACACATTTTGATGTGCTGCCCAAACATATCACCGAGATCTCTCCCGAATACCTGTGGTACTGTTGGAAGTGTGGAGTTGGACTGCAAATGGCACACTCGCAGCATGGCATCGATGGCATCCTCCCCATCTTTATGGGCAACCTCGATCGGCCCTTTGTTACTCCCACTGGCATGCAGGATGATGCTGCCACCAGCATCGAGATGCACGCCGCACGCTACATGACCTACGTTGCATGGGAAGCCAAGAATCGCGACGAACCGCAGCCAGGAGCCGGATCAGGTAAGCCGGATGTAATGCTCAAGCTCGCTGGACCATCGATCATGCACACCTCGCATGCACCGCCAGGTGAAAAGCCACTCACCGAAAGGGCTCTGCTCTGCATTCTGCTTGACCTGGGCACCTCAACACCATTTGCCAGCAAACCTAAAGGATTCCGCCTGCATGTGCAGATGATCAATGGCACTGAATGCCCTCGACTCTGCATCCAAGGTGTGACCAACAAGTACGCCTATCCTTGCCTCGACGTTTTGAAGATCTGAGCCATCTTTAAGCAAATCTTGACCACTCTTGCCGAGATACCCATGTACGAGCAGCTCAATGTGGTGTCCAATCCAATTTGGAACGATCGCGTCCAGCCTGCACTGCCCTCGATCTCGGCGACTGGAGTGTCCAATCCACCACCATCAGCAGCAGCAGCAGCAGCAGCAGCAACAGATGATGATAATGGCACGGCTCAATGCAAAAAACAGCATATGGATCTGGATTGACAATGCTGAGGAATGCACAAGCGAGGGTGGCAAAGTAGATAGCAAGATCATTATTCTAGGAGAAGACTAGTTCCAAAGCAATGCCAGGTATATATGCTTCTACTGATGGTCTGTATGTGCGTATGTGGAATGAAGTGACACATGTAATCATAAGGGGTTATCCAAGTTTTTGCGTTTTTAAAAACGCGGGTTTTTTGAAGAGCGCGTTTTTCAAAAAAACGCAAAAGCTTACATAAGCTGCGCCAAGTGAAAAACAAAACCGCGTTTTTGAAAACACGGCTTTTTCGTGCGTTTTCAAAAACGCAAAACGAGTTCACTCCACAACAGTGAAAGTATGTGAGCACTAGTTCGATCTCACACCTTTGTTGCCTTTTCACACTCGGATCCGTAGCAAGTTGTTGTGGCCAGTCCCGCGTATCGGCATGCGTCCGGCCCGATCATTGCGATCGGCTTCGGCACACCGGCTATCTGATACCCGAGGTGGAGAAGATAGGTGCCACGTCATGTACCATATGCTTATTGTTAAGTTAGGTCTCTTATTGGCCGTATGAATCATGTTTCATATGCTTACTTTTAGGTTGCGCCTCCTTTCGGCCGTATGATTCATGCCTCATATGCTTACTGTTAGGATACGTATTTTATCGGCCGTATGATTTTATCGCGTTTTTGGAAACCCGCTTTTCCTTAAATGGGGGGTTCAACTTTGCTCCAAAAACGCGCTTTTCAAAGAACGCAAAAACTTTGATACCCCCTATAAGCTATCGCAGATAATCGGGCAGCCGCTGATTGGAGAAGCGTTTTTTGATCTAACAGCGAGAAGGCGAGAAGACGAGGAAAGAGAAGAAGAAAAAAAGGAAAAAAGAAAAAAAGGAAAAAAGAAAAAAAGGAAAAAAGAAAAAAGAAAAAAGAAAAAAAAAAAAAAAGAAAAAAGAAAAGAAAAAAAAGGTGACTCGTTTTCTTGTCGCTTTTTGTTGAAAAATGACAATTGGTGCCCACACTACAGCCGCTTTTCTATTGTCAATTACAAGCAAGCAGTGTCACTTTTGTATTTCAACCAGAATTGATTGGGAATGGACGAATGACAGGGCGCAAGAAAGAGTCACATGGTCTGTGCTTTTTTGGTCTGTGCGCAATCCAATCAGAAGGACAGCTGGATCTCTATATCTCAGAATCCCCCCCTCCAACCTAGCCTCTTTCTCCCTCACCACATTCATCTCGCACGATCCTTACTCCTCTTCTCTTTACACACACCATGAACGCCAACGTCGCACGAACTGCCCTTAGGGCTGCTACCCGCTCGTCTACCCGACGTGCTGGTGCTGGTGCTGGTGCTGGTGCTGGTGCTGGTGCTGGTGCTGGTGCTGGTGCTGGTGCTGGTGCTGGCGCTGCTCGATCGCTCTCGTTCGCTCCTACTGCTCGTCCCACCCTCAACAAGATGCTTTCTGCCACTGCTAAGCCTTGGCTTGCTCGTGGTCTCAAGACGATCGAGTTCACCGAGGGGATCCCTGAAAAGGTCTACGAGCGTGAGGACTGGCCTCTTGAGAAGCTCCAGGACTATTTCAAGAACGAGACCTTTGCTATTCTCGGTTACGGTTCCCAGGGTCACGGACAGGGTCTTAAGTTAGTATTACCTCCTTCTCATCTTGCTGCTTTTGCCCTTTTGGCACTCTTGTCTCGTTCTCGAGCGCATTGCTGTGCTCAGAATGGTGACTGCGATAGAACCGCATACTGACTGTATTCTTCCCTCTTCTTGATCGCTCCCGCTCCAACAGCCTCCGCGACAACGGCATGAACGTCATCGTTGGTGTTCGCAAGGACGGTGCTTCATGGAAGGAAGCCATCCAAGATGGCTGGCAGCCTGGCAAGAACCTCTTCCCAATCCAAGAAGCCGCTGAAAAGGCCACCATTGCCATGCTTCTCCTCTCTGACGCTGCTTGCGCCAACGTCTACAAATCCATCAAGGACAAGATGCCCAAGACGCATACCCTCTACTTCTCTCACGGCTTCCAAATCACCTATCAATCCGAAACCGGTTTCGAAGCTCCCAAAGACAAAGACATCATCCTCTGCGCCCCCAAAGGATCCGGTCGAACCGTCCGCTCTCTCTTCCTCGAATCCCGTGGTATCAACGGATCCATCGCCGTCTACCAAGACCTGTCCGGAAAAGCGCTCGAAAAAGCCTCGGCCATGGGTGTCGCCGTAGGATGCGGCTACCTCTACGAAACCACCTTCGAACGTGAAGTCTACTCGGATCTCTACGGCGAACGTGCTTGCCTCATGGGCGGCATTCAGGGTCTCTTCAAGGCGCAGTACGATGTGCTCAGGGCTAACGGCCATAGTCCTTCCGAGGCCTTTAACGAGACTTGTGAGGAGGCCTTGCAGTCGCTTTACCCACTCGTGGGTGCCAATGGCATGGATTACATGTACAAGGCTTGCTCGACCACTGCTCGTCGTGGAGCGCTTGATTGGGCTCCAGAGTTTGAAAAGGCTTGCAAGCCTGTGCTGGAGAAGCTGTATGAGAGTGTCAAGAACGGTAGCGAGACTAGACGCGCTCTGCAGTTCGGCAACAGAAAGACTTATAGGGAGGACTTTGATAAGGAGACGGATGCTATTGCAGCTCAGGAAATGTGGAAGGTCGGTCACAAGGTTCGTGCTTTGCGTCCCGAGAACGCTGATAAGGGCCTCTAAACCTCGCTCCCTCAACAGCATTATCAAAAGCACCTCTTGCGTTTGCTCTTTAGTGAGGCAGCGTAAGGCGAATGTACATGTACAGTATTGTTCTACTTGTCTCTCTCTCTCTCTCTCTCTCTCTCTCTCTCTCTCTCTCTCTTCTTGTTTTCTCCGTACTTCTCTTTGGCTAGAATGCATTTGATAACTCTCACATCACACTCTGATCAGTGGAATGATGCGGGATGGAGGTGTGTGGTGGGTATGAGTGCTATCGTGCTTTGCGAGGAAGAAGGACGAGGGGGAGCTAGGAGGACCAAGGAAGAATGTGTCACTTTGTATGAATGTTGGTACCAGGAAAACCTAACATTGAGGCCAAAGTAAATATATAATTTGGTTTCTGGGCCGTGCACGCGGATGAAATGCAACCCCTCCTAACACCAGCGACAAAGACGACAAGGCTTGCTCGCCAACCACCACCACTAAGCGTGCTTTTCCCAAGGAAAGCTATCTAAACCAACAGCAATGAGCGAACCGCACAAAGCAACGCTCTACACTTTCTCGGGCTCCGTCTGGGCCTCCTCGCCTCGTCTGACGCTTATCGAAAAAGGGTATTCCTGCACGGATCTTGACGTGAAAACAGTCGATCTGATGCGCGGTGAAAACTTCTCCCCCTCCTATCTGCGCATCAACTCCAAGGGAACGGTCCCCACACTCGTCGTTCCTCTGCTCGAAACAACGTCGGCTGAAGTCGACACTAAATTCCGGGCTATCAATGATACTAAAGCGATTTTGGAGTTTCTGGATAGATCGCGTTGCTCGAATACCGTGGTAGGGGCGAATGGAGCTCCCGCACCTATTTTAGCTCCAGCAACGATCCAAGGCAAGGAAGATAGTGATGATATTATCAATATCGTTCATCAAGAGTCTGTAGATCCGAATTTTCTCCTCCTGGGATTAAGGAGTCTCACCGAATTGGCTGGCAAGAGGCAAGCTTTGCCAGGCGTGTTCGTGAAAAATAGATACCAGGCCTTGCAGGAACAGCTCAAGGCAATTAGCCAAGAATGTGGCACAGCATTCGATGCAAATGCCAATCCTAAATCAAATGCCCTCAAGGAAAATCTAAAACAATGGTACACTGATAAGCTTCAATCCCAATCGCTCCTCACCAAAGCTTATGTCGATGCGGACAATGAAGCAGTGGAAGAGTTGATTAAACTGACGAATACAAGCTGGAAGAATGTAGTCGAGACGTTGGTCAAGTTGGAAAGGAAAATACAAGGTCCCTTTGCATTGGGAGACCAGATCAGTCTGGCAGACCTGCATTTGGTGCCTTGGATAGCAAGGATCAGTGCTGTAGCAGGTGGAAAGACGGCCGAGGACGCGTTGGTTGCCTTGGATGCACTCCTGGCCCAGTATGGTGGCAAGGTAGGCCAAAAGGTCACGGTCCTGTGGAACGAGTTTAGCCAGAGACCTAGTTTCAGCGACGTTTATGGCCAAGGCTTGCACTAGCGGATCGTTTCAACGCCCGCAAGTTATCCAGGAAGCGTTCATAGCAGAAGCAACATGCAACAATACAACCCAAACTGGCGCGGCTATAAAGCATCGATTCAAAAGAACACAGCATCCATCCCAAATCAACTGAAATCGCACTGCAACTTTCTTAAAACTAGTGTGTGATTGGCGATGAAAGATGAGATTGCAATGCAATTGCGTGAGAAGGTAAAGCATGCTGAAAAGACATTCTGAGGGTGAACATAACTACGACCAAGACTGAAGATCTGGCTGATAAGCAACGATATCCTTCCTAGTGTGTTTATGATGCAAACGATTCTGACAAGCAGCCTCAACATCTTCGACCTCCTTGGGAGCATCACTGCTCAAAACCAAATTATCCTGCTTCCCCACGAGTGCAATATCATCCTCAAGCCTAACACCCATCCCCTGAAAGGCCTTCGGAAAGGCATCGTCAAAAGGAACATATACTCCAGGTTCAATGGTGAGTGCAACTCCCTCTTCGAGCTTGTTCGTCCTCGGTACACTTGGACAGTCGTGCAGATCTATGCCGAGCCAGTGACCGATGTAGTGCGGATACAAGATAGTCTCGAGGGAGCGCGAGGATAGGTGGAAGCCGATCTGGATGAGTTCTTGGCGGAGCAGGTGGACCGAGTGACGGTGCAGGTCTGCGAGGGTGTAGCATTGCGATTCTGTGGCGAGCGAGGTGCAGGATTTCAGCACGGCGAGGATGGCCGAGTAGAGATCTTTTTGAGGGGAAGAGAAGAGTCCGTTGGAGTTGCAAGGGAAGGCACGGGTTATGTCGGATGCGTAGCCGTCCAGTTCTCCGCCGGCATCGATGCAGACTAGTTGATCGGCCTCCACGAGACGGTCGTTGTTGACATAGTGGATCGTTAAAGCGTTGCAACCAGATGCTACGACGGGGACGTAGGCAGGACGCTGTGATCCGCGCAAAGCACAGTTGTATTCGAATACTGCTTGAAGTTGCGCTTCGGAAACCCCGGGGCGAACAAAGCCCATGGTTTCCGCCATGGCTTCGCCTGAAGCTTTGCCCGCTCGCTTCATTATGCGGATTTCGTTGAGTGACTTTTTGAATCGTAAGCGTTCCACTTGGCCAGAGAGGGAATGAGACTTGCGTGTATCGCCGACCAGTTTGATCACTTGATCGAAATCCGACTTTTTCGAAAACACATCCAACGAGGTCGTGGAAGGAGGAGCGAGGTAGTTCAAGATGTTTGCCGTTTTGCAAGCCGCTCCTGCACTACCTCGTCGCGGCGTGCTAGCTTGGAATGGTGGCTCAACGTAGATATGTGTGTATCTCGGCAAAACTTGCTTGAGAAGATTGAGCAAGATGGCAGGATCAAGCTCAAATGCCTCGTCAGCACCGAAAATGTCCACCGCTCCATCGAGCCCTGTTCTTGGTCCATTCCATGTCTCATTATGTTGATCGCGCTTCTGAACGAACATGGTCATCTTGTACCCTCGCGAACTGGAAGGATGCTTTTCCAGAATCACAGCCGAGTCCGGTTCTTGAAAACCGGTGAGATACCAAAAGTTGGACTCTTGACGAAACTTGTAAAAGATGTTGGCGCTCATGCTTTTGACTCTGCCTGACATTGCGAGGACTACGCTATTGTCTGGTAGCCTTTCCATCAGATTTTTCCTTCGCTGCTCGTATTCTGATTTTGGGATTCCAGGGGTGAGTTGCTCTGTTGCGACGATGCCCAGGCCATCATCGTACAAGCCGTGCTGGGGGAGAGGGTCGCCAGGCCGAAGAACGGCATCTTCAGAACCGAGGATGCCTCGTCTCGGGAACAAATGTGGATGCGAGTGTGGCAAGGGCTGTCCATAGGTTCGTTTGGGCGCTGCGAGGTTGGTACTTGATGAAACGATGGAAGAGGATGAGGCGGTGTACGGGTCGAGGAGGTCCGTCGGACTTGCTGCTGAAGAAGCTGATCGGCGAGCAGTGTTACGACTAGTACAAATGCTGCTGGGACCAGCTGTGGCAGCACGGTTGCCTCGAGATAGCTGCCCGAGCAGACTGCGCCTTGTCCTGCTCCAAGTTGCAGCAGCCATTGTAGAAGCGCTTCTTTGTGAGATGGTGTCAAGATGTACAGGCAGGAATTGCTTCCGAGCTGTGCTCGAGTTGCTGAGGTGGCCGTGCATGACGAGCCTTCTCGAATTTCTGATATTATGTCAGCCTCTGTAAGGCAAACGAACATTCGACATTGGTTAATGAGCTTTATCGTGCGAGAAGCATTGCAAGTTCTCCCACGCCACACGCCACACGCCACACGCCACCAACCCCCCCCCCCCTGCGATGGATGTTGTGTGCAAGGGCGGGGCTCCAAAGTGGCACTGCTTATCTTGGGTCCTCACCGAGCACCAGCGATAAGGTTTGCAACGAGGCGTGTAGGATGATGTTGATGCTAGAAGTGAGGCTTGTGCGGTAAGTATGTGTGGGAAGAATCAGGAGCCAATCAAGCAATCAAGTTGGATCTGTATGGTGGTGCACGAAATGGCCCGTGCCAATTGCTTATCGGAGTATCAGCAGAGTGCAACAAAGGCGTTTTCAGACTTGTACAGTCGCCGCCAATGCTACAATGAACCATTGTCGCAAGGCCTGCCGAACGCTGGGAGAAAGACCATGGCACATTGTGTGGTGGTGTCATGCAAAGCTCGGCAGGATGGATAGCGTGGTGCTACTAGCAACTTGGAAATGGCGTGTGCTTGGATGTCAAGACAAAGCAACGTTGTTGTCAGTGTAGCCTCAGGCGACTGTGCCTGAGAGAAACGTGAGGGAACTGCGACCCTGCATGCTGTATCTCGCCTGGAAAAGCAAGATAAGAGTGTGTAGCGAGGTGAGGCGAGCCGTGCAAGCAAAGCCAAGCCAAGCAAAGCAAAGCAAAGCAAAGCAAAGCAACGCAACTGTAAGAACAGGAAACGAGGCGAGACAATCTGGGGTAAAACGCGGCCTCAACTTGACTTGTGCGACAGACAAGTGTCTTGAGCTACAAGCAACTCTTGCCTGTCGCACGTCATCCTGAGCCCCTCTAGACTGTAGAGAGAGACAAGGTGTTGGGTGCAGCGTGATTGCGCACATGATGTTGCTCAGGTCGACCATTGGACGTTGCTCGACATTAACTTAAAGGGCGAAGGGTATGCATGTCCATCCCCGAGGTGCAAGCATGCGGATTGCGGCAAATTGCGGCGAATTGAGCTGGGCTTGCAGAAGGCATCGAAGGGTGCAGATAGAAGTCAAAGAGTAGTGGCAGCCAAAAGGCAATCAGCGTTGCAGAAGAGTAGCTGTGATGAGGACAAAGGGGTGAAGCAGGCAAGCAAAGCTCGGCTAGCGGGAGCAAGTTGGCGCACTTGGTGTTTTATTGGCCTCTCGGTGCATGGGAAAGTTGGCTTGGTGAATGCGTCATGCGATCCAGCTTTTGGTCCGGAGGGACACAAGCGTCACTTAGGACTCTCTCTCTTTCTCTCTCTCTCTCTCTCTCTCCCTTATACCTTGGACCTCCTTTTCAGTGCGCTGAGGTAAGGACCGGACTGAGGGGTTAGGGTTACCTTGCCGAGGCAGGGACAAGGACTGAGAGCGAACGCCGTTTGAAAACAACAGCAAGAGAGGCGAGCCTAACCGAACTTGGGAACGGGCGTCGTGTTACACGGCTGGTCAATGTTGTTCTTGGAAGATTTCGGAGGAGCTGGCAAGCAAAGGATTGCGCAGGCGAGTTTGGCAAGAAGCGAGCGGAGCGGAGCTTGAAGCATCGTAGAGCCAACTTGGCGAGGAAATAGCTGGAGCTCGGAGCACCTGCCACACAAGCGAGCGTGGATAATGAGGTGGATCCTTCTTTCTTGCTGGAGTTTCTTGCTGCTGGACCGCATTGGAAGAAAGGCAAGATGTCGTGGCGGTTAAGAATGTCAACGGGGAAAGAATGTCAACGATGAGTTATCGCTCTTGAGAAGGCGTAAAAAAAAACAAAAAACAAAAAAAAAAAGTTGGAAAAGGAGGCTGAGAAATTGAGGGGAAAAAGAAGGAATGTTAAATTGTCATTCTAACTCAGGCTACGGACCAACGCTTGGTTGCTCTCTGGTTTTCTGGGTTGAGTTTCTCTTGAGCGCAGAAAACTCCTATGCGCCAAGACCAAAATTTCGTGTTGCTTTTTTGGCTTCAAGTCCGCCACATTTCCTGCAACAAAAAGAAAAAGAAAAGGAAAAGAAAAAGGAAAAAGGAAAAAGGAAAAAGGAAAAAGGAAAAAGAAAAAAGAAAAAGAAAGAAACAGTTTCAGTGCGAGTCGAGCTGTCTATCTCTGCTGCTAGTTAGACACTACTACATATCTTCCCACGAATAACGACGACCACAACATCACTCTTTTTCTTTTCCTTTTTCTTTTCCTTTTTCTTTTCCTTTTTCTTTTCCTTTTTCTTTTTCTTTTTCTTTTTCGAATTCTGGACTCCAACCTCCTTCTCCACTCTGCAGTCTGGAGCCCCTTCCCTTTCTTCTCCAATGTTTATTTATTTATGAAATGAAATGAAAATGTCTAGCCACCGTCAGAGCTGTCCAAGAGTGAGTGGTTGTGTGAGTGGCCAAGTATATATCATTCCAGTCTATCAACCCCTCAACCCCTCAGCCTCTCAACCTCTCAGCCTCTTCTAGCCTTGGGAAAAGTCAACTTGGATATATACACTCTCGCCATCTTGCTCTCCCTCTCTCACCGCAGCAAGGCCAGTCCAACTCGTCTTGCAGGCCGTCTTGAGCTTGACACCTATCTCTCTTGACATTACCACTATCAGCATCTCCTCTGCCGCTCTTCAGCATCCTTGTACACCTCTAATCACTTGCTCGCTCATTCTCTCGCAACTGCCTAACCATCTTTTCAATCGGCATGGTTTCTCTTTCTTACTCTGCACCAGCTCCTTCTTCCCACGATCCCATCTTTCTTCGCACCCACTTCCTCGGCCGTGTTGCTTCTGACGGTGAGGGCCTCGAATACCAGCATGAGCTCCTCAAACATCGCAGCAGCCGTCACAGCGATCTCTATCGATGCGATTCCCATTGGCTTGCTTCTCTCACTCACTCTATGAGCTATGACAGCGATGACTCCAGCGACACTGACCAACATGTTCTCCACCCGAGACCAGCTCAGAACAAGTCCAACTCCCCTCAGCACCCTCGCAGCCGATCTTCCTCCACCCTTCCGCTCTCCATCACCACCATCCAACCTCTCGGAATCGCTCGCCCTCGCTCCATGACTGCACCTCTCACATCTTCCTCCACCCCTTCTCTCCAGACCCGCACTCTGCGAAAGAACCGCTCCGTTATCGGTGACGAGTTCAAACTCATCCCAGCACGTCCTCTCACCATCGACACCGCCCAGCCTCTCCGTCTCTCTTCGCAGAACCTTTCCGCACTGTCCGCCCAAAACTCTCTCACTCTCAATATGCCTTGGCCAACGGCAGCAGTCCCATTCTCAAAGACGAGCAGCCCACCCCTCGTTCCCATCCAGTGTTCCCAGTCCGACGGCTCCTGCCACGGCGATCTCGGCGACCAGGACCCCGAAGCTCAGCTCGCCGCTGGTATCATCCGTCTTCGAGAGCAGCGCAAAGCTTCACCCTCCAAGTCCCACCGCCGCACTCGTCCAAACCCCCGCCCCTCGCCTGCCTACAAGCAGCAGCAGCTCAATGTTTCCCAGGATCTCGAATCGGATGATGCGCAGTCCATCGTCATTCGAAACCATGCCAGCAACTTTGTCCTCCGTCTAGCAGAAATGCTCTTGGATTTTGGCTCTTCCGCTCTCGAAAAGCTTCTTGTCTCTGACAACAACGACTCATTCCAGAAGCCCAGCTCCCAAACACCTCAATCGCCTTTGCAAACACCGCAATCGCCTTTGCAACCACGCAACCGATCATCCACCACACCACAACAGCTTTCTGCGGAAGCCGGCCAACTACTTGGTCGTCGACGCCAACGCATTGGCTCTCTTCTCCCGAGCGACTTTGTCTCCGAATCTGACAGTTCCACCAAGGCTACTTTGACAAGATCATGGTCCCTTCCCAAGCTGCTCAGTCTACCTCTCCTCAACCCTTGCGCTTCACTGCGAGCCCTTTCCTCTTCCACTGCATCTTGGCCATCGTCTCCCATCTCGGCGCCTCCCCACTTCCACTCTACTCTCGGCTTCACCAGCACTGCCGAGGCTGCCTCAAAATACAAAGAGATCCGCTCCTTTGACGACATTGGAGCTTCCTTCACTCGCCAAAGTGCTTGCCTCTACACACACTCTTGCAGTGTTGACGAGGTGCTGCCCGAACCTGGCCACGTATCTCCTCTCTGGAGGCAATGAAAGCATTCCTATCACACCTGTCTCGCATTATCAGCATACCTCTGCTCTGTATTTGTATCTCTTTTTGCGGCATCCTTTGCGGCATCCTTTCATGCAGCCAATCATATTCCCATTGACATTTCCATTGACATTTCCATTGACATTTCTCTTGCTTTTGTGTGCAAGTCCAAGTCAGGGCTGTTAGCAGTGTGGGCTGCGCATTTTTGACACGATCATGTCGCCTTGAAGCCAGCATGTTGATACTCAAGCTAACGATCCAATATGATGATGCCAGTTTGACCTAAGCGGATACGAAAGAAGAGATCGGGCAAAGCCGATCTGATCGGAGATAGGACAGAGCCGATCTAACTAGAGATCGGGTACATCCCCTAACACCTCTCGCAACCTGCTCAGTCGATTTTGTTCTTCTCCATCATCTCGATCTTGACCACAATCTCATCGCTAGCCACGCCATCGCGCTTGCCACAACCTTCAGTTCCCTAGCTGCAACGATAGCGTCGAGCCTCTTTTCGACAAGCAGACCGTATCCAAGCAAGATGGGCGCAACTAGCTCCAAGGGTCCAAAGATTACACCCCATGATCGAGCTCTTCTGGAGTAAGTGCAGCAGGACAAGTGTTGCTTTCTTGACCCTTGAACCTACTGCAGCTAACTTGCTCTTTGTCACTGCAGCTTGAAGCTTCAACGAGACAGAATCAAGCAATATCAAAGAAAGGTGAGCTCCAATTCTCCACCTCGATTTCCACTTGCTCAATCAATATGCTGACCACATTAACCTTGACCTCCGACCAATCCTAGATCCAAACCATCCTCGACCGAGAACATGAGATTGCACGACAATGCCTAGCCAAAGGCGACAGGTCCAGAGCCTTGACAGCATTACGCAGCAGGAAATACCAGGAGAGTTTGATACAAAAAACCCATTCGCAGCTCGAGACGTTGGAAGGCCTGGTAAGTCACGCCTACCTCTACCGAGGCCCAGCGCATGCACATATATATATACAAAGCACTGACCTTGTCTCAATATGCTGCATCCTAGGTCTCTTCAATCGAATTCTCGCAAATCCAACAATGCGTTATGCTAGGCTTACAACAAGGTAACGCAGTCCTTAAGCAGATTCACAAAGAGATCAACCCTGAATCTGTCGAGCGATTGCTGGAAGAAACTGCTGAGGCACAGACTTATCAAAGGGTACGCATCTTGCATTCCTGCTCTTCTTGCCTACGAGCAAGCAACCCGCCGGCTGACACAAAAAGACGAATGCAAACTTGCTTTCCCCAGCAAATCGACCAGATGCTGGCAACTCAAATTACAGCAGAACAAGAAGATGCCGTACAGTCCGAACTCGAAGGGCTCCAACGCGAAGCAGCCATCCGGATCGACGAGCCACAAAAGACAGTCGAGTTGCCATCCGCACCATCAACCCAACCCGTCTGGAAGCAACAGGAGCAAGAGGCAACTCCCCAAAGTCAACCAGCAAAACCAAGGCTCCAAGAGAGACATGCTCTCCTTGCATAAAAGTGGGCATCAGACAGCATGTCAGATTCTGTTTTGCAAACCGTGTTCATATCGCATTGCTTTCATCTGCATCGCATTGCTTTCATCTGCATCGCATTGCTTTGGTCTCACATCGAGTGACGCTCAGCGAGCGACTCTGGAAACCAGTGAAGCCGCTCTCTCATAGAGTCGCGACAGTGACAAACCACCCTCAGCGCCCGATAGAGATCCCATCTCGCGAACCAACCGGCTCGCCAAAGACAAAACCTTGCCACAAGCAACCCGCGCTGCCCTGTCTCCCGATCCCTTCTCCAACCGGTCAATGAGAGAGCTCAAGACAACAATCCATGTCTTGTGACTCGGTGCATGCAAGGAGGATGTTGAGACCTCTTTGCTCTCCAATACGGCCGATGCGAATGGTCCCATCCCACGCGAAGGCTCGGGTGGTTGCGTTCGAAGTAGAATATCATCCATCAAATCCATGGATCGGTTGAATGCAGCTTGATCCCTGCGTGGATTGCAAAGTGCTTCGATCAAATGTCGCAGTGCGATGGGTGGTGCAGTGAGATTGCGAGCCTTCATGTGTTCGAGTAGCAACAATGCAAGTGCGACCTCTGGTGACTGTTGCATCCATTGATCAACGGTTTCCTTGGATTCCTTGAGTCGGCGCAGAGGCTTGGGAGGAGCGCAGTAGTGTCGAGCTATCGATTTGCTTGCGAAGGCATGTGCAACCGCTTCCGGATTCTGCAGGCATCCACCAATAAGTGCAGTGTAGGTCTCCTCGGAGGGTGCGATCTTGGCTTGGATCATTCTATCGAGCAAGTCTAGTGCAGCTGCGATGGAAACTTGCTCTTGACCTGCTTGCCGTCTAGTTGGACTTCTAGAATCACCAAGCATGCTCTGTGAGGCCATGTCCAACTGTGCCGCTTCAGCACCCACCAGACAGGCTTTGATCATGGATGTGTAGGTAATCACGTTCGGTTGAACTCGCATACTAGTCATCATACCAAGCGTTTTGGAAACGGCATCCCTCGCAGATTCTCCACCACTCCTCAACAAAGCATCGAGGATGGTGGTAAAGGTAACAACATCAGGCCTAAGCTTGAGCTTATCAGCAAGTCGCAATGTCTCGGCCAACAACTGCAAATCTGCAATCCTTGCATAAGCTCGTAGGAAAATATTGATCGTCCCAATGCTCGGTGCTGGACCTTTAGTCAACATCTCATCCAATACAGCTCGAGCCTGATGATGTTTGCCATTGATAAAGAGACCAAAGACAACAGCATTAAAAGTCTCGGTGCGTACCTCTAGCTTTCCTCCATTACGATCACTTTTAGCAATCATCTCGGAGAAAAGCGACATGGCTTCATCCATCTTCTTGGCGCGGAAAAGGTTGTCGATCATGGTCGTGTACATGATTTCGTCCGGTAGCTTACAAGCTCTCAACCCGGCCTCTTCCTCAGTGCAGGCTTGCTTGATGGCAGCAGACCAAGTTTGTAACGCTGCAGTATAGTTTTTCGCTCTTCCGTACCCGTTCAACAAAGCATTCCAGACTCTCGCCGATGGATGCAGTCGTAACTCGTGATATTTGCACCATACTTGCATCGCTACATCCATACGTCCGCATGCAATGAATTCCGAAAGACAAACTGACCAACAACTTTCTGTCCACTGCACTCTCTTGCCTGCTGAAGCTGTACAGCTGCTATGCCACCTCTCCACACTAAGCCATGCACGAGGTTGTGAGACAGCGCTCATCGCAGTTTGCAAGATAGACTCGGCTTCATCCACTTGTCCCATCGAAAAGAGAGAGCCCAGGAGCCTGGCTATGCGTTGCGGACCACCTGAGCCCGAAGATAGTCCTCGGCCTAGCTCGATGCTCCAAAGCATGGACTGGACGAGGCTCCAATCTGTGTTGCAAACCAAGTCCGACGATGGCCCTTTGCATATGCGCATCGATTCAAACAGGCGCTTGGCCCGGGTCATGTTGAAGAAGAGTCGGAAAGGAGAGCCAAACTCGATCCTGTCGAACAGGTTGACAAAATCCATTGCACGGCAAGATTTAGTGCAGGCAAAGGCAACAAGACATACCAAGTCGTGAAGGTCGATCCTTTCGCCTTGTGCTGATTCGTCGATACGGATGAATCTCTCGCTGTTGCTCTCCTGAGCTTCTTCTGCTTCCGAGGCACGATGCAACTTGCTGGGAATGGGCCCATTTGCCAGTCGTAAGCCGACAAGTTGTTCCCAGATTCGGATGACATCATCGGCTTGTCCATTTGCTAAGAGCACGCGAAACCAGCCACAGATCAGGTCGCCATCCCCAGTGAACGACGCTGCTTCTGCGATTTCGCCAAAGCGTAGGCACGATTGCTTGGCTTGATCCCTATCACTCATCCCAGCGGCGTATGAGGTGCACAAACCAAGAAGTTTGGAATGCTCGTCTATTCCAAGACTGCGGATGTGTTCACCGAGTTCTTGCCAAGCAGACCATATCGAAGCGAGATCTTGACCGTCGATGGCCTTCTGTAAGTCATGGAGCGGTCCATCGGATGCGTTTGATGTTGAAGCCTGTTGCACTTCTGGTCGTCGCAGCGCAATCACCCGTCTCGCACGTGGCTGGCCAAAGGATGTGCTGGCTGTCTGTGAAGAACGCTGCTTGTTGGTCATATGATTGGGTCGCACAGATCGCTGCTTGCTGTTTAATCCTTGACGTCGGTTGCTGCTTCTGTTTGCCTTTGGTACATGAATGCTGAACCATGTTTCGACGCTACTGTAGCTTCTTGCGAGGCCTTTTGGAAGCTGCTGCTCAATGCCAGCTAGCAGTGCTCGTCTTGTTGCACCAACAGCGCTGACCGCCATGATTTGCAGCATCGCGGCCAAAGGCACCGCAGCAAATAGGATGTCGGATGCTTTCGGAGCTCTGTTTCAATCCAAGACCTACTTAGAGCTCCAAGGTCAATGAAAAGCATGTGGACGCAAGAGGATAGAGTATAGAAGGAGGTCTTGTCGACTTGTTAGAACAAGTGTCGAATCTCTTTTTGGCACAAAACAAAGCCGAGATCCGATTCTGTTAGATCTAGTTTGAATTTTGAATTTTGAATTTTTTTGCTCTTGTTAAATCTAGTTTAAATTTGCAACTGTTAGATCGCATTTAAGTTGACACCCAGGGTTTCGACCTGGCATTTTATGTTAGATCGTAGTTAAGTTGTGCCAAGGATTTGGATTCGGCAAGTGGAAGTAAAGGTCTCTTGGAATTGGCCACCACACTCACTATCTTGCATTCCTACCTCCACCATCCTGTACTACCCACATTCTCTAGCACATAGCCAGCGACAGCAGCAGTCACCACGAGCAGCAGCCACTACAAGCAGCAGTCACCACGAGCGGAAAAGGTATCTCAGTTTCCGTTGCTCTTTCCGTCCTTTTGTTTCACATCCGTACTCCGCCCGACTTTGTGCGACGACGAGGAGCTACGCCTCGTCTGATTTGGCGTCTCGCCAGAGCTTGCCAGCATGGATAGAAGACGTCGTTCGCTCGATAGAGATCAAGAGCCTCTGCTTGATAGCGATGCAGTCGAGCTTGACAATCGCTTCGCCATCGATGATAGTCTAGCTGAGGAACAACCCGCTGCCGACGCATCTTCACCCAAGTACCCACCCCTGCCACCTTCATATGACGATACAATTCGCGTAGATGCACGCTCTCGGTCCAAATGGAACCCTGCGGAATGGCTCACACTATCGCGTACCACCAAGGAACACATCCAGGCTTGCTTACCGCGCACTAGCTCGGGCGATCTTCTGACATGGAACACTGCTTTCTCCGGCTGCTTCAGAGGTGCGATGCGCTGCTGGCCTTCGAATCGTTTTGCACAGGCGAGCTTTTTCATCATAGCTCTCTGGATCCTTGTCCTCTTCACCGGCCCTTCGCTCACACAGACTGGCTCAGACAACATCGGTGCTGGATTGCATCAGGACTGGGATTACTCTCACATCCCAACAACAAAGCCAGCACCGCTTCACGAGGATGGTCTTATAGTTCAACAGGCCAAATGGCAATGGCACAATTGCGCTTCGATCAAAGGCACGAATAGAGTCCAGTGCATGGAAACATCAAGCTTCCTCCTGAATCCCAACAAGGCCAAGGATAGCTTCGCATCCACAGAGTCCATCTTTGTCGACGTCGATCCGCTCCGAGATGACCGACCACAACCAGCCGGCAGTGTTCCCGGTAGCATCACTGTTGTTCACCAGACTGCCCATGTCTCAGCAGCCGAAAAGGACCTCCTTAAGGTCGAGGTGACTGCTCGCTACGACGAAGCATATAAGAATCTCTTTGAGACTAGCTTGGTCGCCAAAATGAAGCGCGGTCTCTACGACGAAGGTCTTGAAATCTTAACGTATGCTAAGGCAGTAGCAGCCGATCAAAGCCCACTCATCTACGACGTCAAGCTCATCCTTCCACCGCACATCAACATTCCAACGCTTTCCATCGATGCCGGAGCCTCTAATATTGACCTCTTCCAGTCTGACCCTGATGGGAAGAGACGACTTGCATCGCGAGGCTTGAATCGAGGCGACGCTGCGCCAGCAAGGCCAGACTTCTACTTTGGCAAGCTACATGCACGAACGCAAGTAGGCAAGTTGCATTCCTCCTCCATTCGTGCCATTGCCGACATTCATCTGACTACCGTCAACGGCAAGCTTCATGTCGGTGGATCCTTCGAAGCTCAATCTGTAGAGCTCAAGTCTGTTAATGGTCACCTTGACATTGATCAAGATTCCAAACTTGAAGCCGCTTACGACCTCAGCCTACAGACTCAAAATGGTCACATCCGTGTTGGGCAGCACACCAACTTGCGCGCCACCACCTTGCGGTCGGAGTCGCTGAACGGAGGCATCATTGCCGAAGGCGCCGTCTTCAATGTCAACCATACCCTCTCATTACGTTCCTCGACCGGAAGGATCGAAGCAGCCATCAAAATCGAGAAACCAGATCTCCAGAGGCTTGATGCTCCTGGTCTCGGCAAGACTGAGCTGGTAAAAGTAGAGGCGCAGTCTCAGACTGGCTCGATCCAGCTGGACTTCCTTGAGCATCAACGAGAGGTGCCCCTTGGTTGTATTGCTACATCTGAAGTCGCTTCGGTTTCGGTCTCATTACACCCAGAGTATCAAGGTGAATGGGAGATTCGAGGAGCTACCCACTCGCGCTACCGTGGCAACGGCACCAAGGACGGCATCAAGACTGACCGAGGTGTTCACCGCTTTGCCATTGATGAGGACAGCTTTGGCTGGATCAACCGCTTGACTAGAGGTCGCACCTGGTGGGAGTCAGACAACAAAGCCGGCCTCATCCCCAAGGGCGCTGTCGTTTCGGTCGGCACGCAGGTCGGGCTAGCCATTCTCACTTTCAAGTAGTTCTGATCACATACTCATCCGACCACTCTGAATCTTTGCTTGCACTTTTATCCTTCTCTGCACCTGCACAACGCACAACGCACAACGCACAACGCACAACGCACAACGCACAACGCACAACGCATCTTGTATCTCATCTCGTCTTTTTCACTGTCTCTACCGGGACTGCATCACTTTGTCGTTGCTCGCTTGCTTACTCGACTCTCGTTCTGAAATCGCATTCGCACATCATTGGACATTTCACTCATCATCTTGGCATGCTGATGGTGTGATGCTGCTCATTGAAGCACTGGGTCACTGCAACATGACGTGTTCACGCGAGAGGAGATCTGTGCGTCTACTAGACTTTGCTTAGAATGCTTTACATTGGCGCTATGTTACTGTGCCCCTAACAGGGTTGAACAAGCTAATTGGCAGTTATGATTTCATATAGCATCAGTCAGATGTGCGCTTTAGCGACGGAATCCAAACTGGATGCTGAGATCGAGACAGAGCAGGTTGGAGCCATCTTGATTCTCACCAGTAAGGTGAACATTGAATTTGCCAGGAGGGATTTCTCGAGGCAAGGCAACGGTTTGTTCGAGCTGGTAGTTTCCAGGAGAGATGGGACATTGAAGATCGGCGTTATTGCTTCTTGCCTCTTCGCAGACATCGAATCGGCGTGCTAGGAGCCTGATGAGACCAAGCTTGACTACAACATCGGCAAATGTGCCGTCCTATACGGTTCAAGTAGTGAAGAGAGAGAGGTAGAAGCTCAGCTTACGTTCAAGGATGCGAGTGGGGAAGGGGGGAATTCAATGGGATATACTTACGCTGACTTCCTCCTTGACCGTTCCTTTGGCGCGCACGGTCAGGTTCTGGCCAGGGACAGGCGGGTCAGGGCTGACAACAATGCTTTCTACATCGACGATCTCATCGCCGGATCCACAGCTGGCCCACTGCCATCCCTGTCCTGGTGTGGGGCCCCATGTGAGCGACTTGCCATCCTTAACGGCAGGCTCTGGTACCGAGAAGGCGATCTGGTTGGCAGCCTGCTTACAGTCTTGACCAATACATCCCCAGGCAAGAGCTTGAGAAGCCAAGGAGAGCGATGCCACGGTGACAGCTACGAGTCTTGCGTGCATGTTTGAGGATCTAGTGTGGCGGTGCTTTTTTAAAAAGTAGCCGTGTTCCTTAGCACAATAACAGCGCTGCGAGATGCTTGTGTTGGATGAAGTTGAACAAAGTGTCGGTCCGTCTAGATTGTTGGTAGTAGAGAGAGATAGTGTGAGGAAGAACGACAATCATGTAGGCTGACGATCATGTAGGCTGATGATGACAACCGACCAACTCAGCTCAAGGCTGAATAAAACTGCCGAATTTGGATGTTAGACCTGCTCAACTGCCATTTCACAGTTGATTTCTCCACTCGCAAACGGCAAACGCATGTGCAGTTGAGATGCCACGAAAAAAGAGTTAAAGTTTTCGTGTGATTGATGATGATAATGGTGAGAGGGGGAGAGAGAGAGCGAGGAGAGAGAAGGAGTCTATATATATAAAAGAAGAGTGGCAGAGAGCTGCATCGACTGTGGAGCATAACAAAGCATTTGTCTTGAGTAGGTTGTGACACATGTGGTCCATGCTCAGATGCTCAAGCCTTTTACTCAGCCATAAGCACTACCTTCACCATCTCTACACTTTGTGTAGCTTTTATCTACTTCAACTCCCCCCCTCAACAGCATATGTACCCCATTCATTATGCTGTTGTTTCAAGGTATATCCTCCATTCTTTAACATCATCGCATAGCTCAGGGACTCTGTTTTGTATGCCACTGCCAGTATTTGCAGGTGTAGCCCAGATCTTGCTTGCTGCATTGCCTGTCTCCTGATTGGCTTGGTGAGTACATCTGCCAAATTCCTTGTGGTGTCCACATACTTGATTTGCACCCTTCCCTCTTGAACATTGTTACAGATGAAGTGATACTTGGTGTCAATGTGCTTAAGCTTCCAGTGCTGTGCTGGGTCTTTACTAACCTGTATGCAACCAGTGTTGTCTGAGTAGACCATTGGGGTGCCTGTGGCAATGCCAATCGAGTGTAGCAGCTGCTTGAGGAAGAGCACCTCATGTGTTGCTTCCGTGGCTGCAATGAACTCTGCCTTGACAGTGGACAATGATATGCATTTTTGTGTTGCTGACTTCCAGGCTACCGGGTTCCCATACACTAACGCCACTGACCCTGATGTACTCTGTCAGGGGTCTCGCGCCTGAAACCCAGGTCGGTCTGTCGAGATACTTGGTGACTATCAAACTGTGCGACAGCTATTGTCTCGGTATCGGTGACTATCAAGTTGCGCAGTGACAGCAGGTGGTGTTCGTTGGATATACTATCATAGGTTTCGGCTGACCTCTGTGGACACTCTGTTCAGGGGTAGCTTGGCACGATCAATATCAATGTTATGATGACACCAAGGTCTGGTGTGAGTGTTGATGATGATGAGGTTGATGGTGTTGGTGATGAGATTGGTGATGTCGATGATAATGAGGTTGATGGTGTTGGTGATAAGGTTGGTGGCATCAACACAAGTGTCCAGTGTGTTGACTTGATGCTTGAAGTGATCCCCGGACTGCAGTGGACTACTGCCTTCGGTTCTATCTTGATCCGGACCGCTAACCTGCTATGGGCGCCTTCGGATGTCAGGTAGTGGTGATACAACACACACACTACGATGAGGAGCAACCTTTGATGGATTGCTGCTATGCTGACTGAAACTAATATATACTTATGCTGAAGTGATAACTAGTTATGGTGAGTAGAGTGGATGAGGATCCACTCAACCTATGATGATGAGAAAGCATGGTTATATACCTCTTCACAGCATCACCAGCGATGCTGCTCCTGCTCTCTCTCCAGAGAGTACCCTCTTCATCGAGTACTGCTCAGGGGCCTCTCCTGCTTGGCACCCCTGTGCCTCTTGCGTGGTGTCGACTCCTTCGACACTGCTCCTCCTCCTCATGACCTGGTGTCGACTCCTTTGACACTGCTCCTCCTCCTCATGACCTGGTGTTGACTCCTTCGACACTGCTCCTTCTCCTTTGATCAGTGACAGTTCCTTTGGCTCTTGTCTCTCGAGCCCCTGAGTGGTAACCATCTGCATGCTCCTTGAGCTTGGTCCTCTTCGTGGCTGTGCCTGCTCCTTGAGCTTGGTCCTCCTCATGGCTGTGCTTGGCCCTCCTTTGCATGTGAGTCCGTAGGAGTCCATGGTCTCCATGGAGACTGCACTACGACCATGCTCTCTACTGATCTCAACTAGATCTTCAATACCTGTTGAACCTGTGACCCTCCTGCTTCTTGAGCATCCAGGCCCATGACATACTCCTTCTCTGAATGGTGGCATCACTTGCCCAGTTTGCATCACTATGCGCAATCAGTGGCTCTTGCGACATATTTCCCCTATAAACTAATCCAACATTCTTTGTGTCTTTGAGGTAGCATAAGACCTGTTGTGCTGCCTGATAATGCTCTTGAGATGGTTCGCACATGTGTCTAGTGAGGATGCTCATGGTGAGACTAAGGTCAGGCTGGGTGCTGTTGGCAACCCAGAGCAGCTTGCCAATGATCACCAGATACTCCTTCTGTTGTGCTGCACTTGCGACAAGGGTTCCCTCCAGTATGCTCTGCATTGGAACCATGGTTGGCTTGGTGCATTTGTCCAGGTGCTTAGCCAGCACTTGGTCAATGTACCCTGACTGACCAATCGTCATGGTGCACATTGTACAGTTTCGACTGATTTTGATGCTGAGGAAGTGAGAGACCTTGCCACTATCTTCCATCTTCCATCTCTGACCAATCTGCTTCTTAACCTTTAGGACTGTTTCCAGCCATGGTGCTATGACTAATGTATCATCAATGTAGATGACCACAATGGCCATATCTTCACCCCATCCCTTGGTGTAGATGCAGGGAGCACACTCTACCTGGAAGAATCCCATGTGTCACAAAGACCTGTCGAACTCCTGGTTCCATTCTTGCCCAGACTGCTTTAGGCCATACAGGCCCTTGACCACTTTGTATACCTGTCTGGGTGCTACTCCTGATCCCTCTGGTGGTTTCATATAGATCGCTTCTTTTAACCTGGAGTTTAAGTAGGCCATTGTGATATCCAGTGCATGCACCTCCCAGTTGTTCTGTACTGCTAGTGCTAGGATAGCTCTGATTGCTCTGAGGGGTGCTACTGGAGAGAAGGTTTCCTGGTAGTTGATTCCCTCTCTCTGTGTGAAGCCCCTCGCCACCAGTCATGCCTTGTGCTTTATGGGCACACCATCAGCATCGAGCTTTAGCCAAAGCACAACCTTAGAGTCCACGAGTGGTACTCCTGGCGGGTGATTCACCACCTCCCAAGTCCCCATTGCCTTGAGTCCTTCCAGCTCTTTTCATATTGCCTCCTTCCAGAGCTGGGCATCCTCACCATTCATTGCTTCCCCAAGTGTTGGGTCCAGGTTCAGTACTGCTGTGTTGGTGGTGCCTACTGTGCTGTCTACAGCTGGTAGGAGATCCTCCACTGTGGCTTCTGATCTGGTTTCCTCCTCCACTATGGCTGGTGTGGCACCCTCCTCCTCAACCTCCATGGTCACCATGGGCCAGACTGCCTCCTGTTGGTGATCACTCCATCCTTTGTCCTCATGGAACGTTGCTGAGTTGCTCCATTGAATTGATGCAGGCTGGTCTGGGTTGCAAAACTTCCATGCTTTGTGCTCATCATCATATCCAATCATGATGGCTGGCTTTGCTCTAGCCCCATACTTGCCCTGCTGGTCCTTCCATTGAACATGGACCCATGCCAAGCATCCGAAGACTTGCAGCTGCTGGGCCAGCTTGTGTGTGGTGGTTCCATAAAAGGCCTCATGGGGGATGGTCTTGGTGGCTGATGGGGTGAGGTTCATCACATGTGCTGCTGCTGTGATTGCATATGGCCACAACTCTCTGGGGCAAGCTCGACCAATGAGCATTGAGTGCATCTTTTCTTGGACCAATCTGATTGCTCTCTCTGCCCATCCATTCTAGACACTGATCCCCGGGATGCTCTTTTGCCACTTGAAACCCTCTTGAGTTTGCCAGTCTTCAGCTCCTAAGCTGCACCACTCTCCTCCATTGTCACTGCAGAGTGTTTTGAGTTTCCTGTCTGTTGCTTGTTCCATCCTGGTGATCCACCTTCTCAGTGCTGGGAGTGCAGCACTCTTAGTGCAGAGTGGTTCCATGTAGATCAGGGAGGAGAAGTTGTCCACAGCAACTAGTGCATAGTGGTAGTTGGCATGGCCCTTAAGATCTGTCATCAAGTCTATGTGTACTAACTCTAGTGGCACCTCTGCTCTCTTCAACTCCGATTGGCTCATCCGCACTCAGGTCTGTTTCCCTTGACTGCATGTGTTGCAGTGCTTTGATTCATGCTCCATTCTCTCATCAGTGCTGAGGTAGTGTGCCCAGATTTGCCTTGTCTTATCTCGTCCTGGGTGTCCAAACCTCTCATGCCAGAGGTAGCTATCTTTGTCTTCCTTTGAGTTGTTGTCTTGGTTTCCTGTGTTCTGGTTGTCCTCTGGGACATTGTTGGTTGTCTCCTCCAGCTCCAAAGCCAGTGCTTGTCCTCGCACGTCGAAGCAGCCTTGTCTCCTGTTCTTCCTGAATTGCACTTGGGTACCATTGTTCTGCTTTATGGTAGTCCCAGACTCTTCAAAGATTACTCATGCACTGTTCTCGATCAAGCCTTGTACAGACAATAAATTAGAATTGAGCTTCAGCATGTAGAGCACATCCAATAGCTGGATGGTAGCCTCACCGACCTGAAGGGAGGCATCTCCTATGGCTTTTACCTGAAGCTTTTCATCCCCTGCCATACTGATCTGACTGTCCTTGCTCATTGAGGTGAGCAGCATTCTCTCATCATTTACCATATGATGAGTTGCACCTGAATCAACAATCCAGGTGTTGTATGCCGATTGCTCCCCCCCTGTTGATCGCTAGGAAGGTGCACCCAAGTTCCTAGTGACTCGCTTCCTGTGCCATACAAGCAGCAGGTTCATTCGTGTTTGGTGCAGAGTGGTTGTTGGTGTTTGTGCAATTACGAGTGATATGATTGGGTCCCCCACATGCATAGCATCTTGGAGGAGCTGAGGGATTATGCAGATCACACCTGCCCCTGGGCCCCTGCTCCACCTGACTGGTACCCCCTTGCTCTGTGCTTGTAGCAACCCTGGCTGCTCCTCTGATATGACCTGAAATCTCACCATCCTGCTGTTTCTTGGCAAGTGCATGGTAGGCTTCATCATACTTACAGTCTGGTTTGGCCATCTTGAGTGCATCAACAGAGTTGGCATAGAACCAATCTTGTGCCATGCAACAGTAGAGCATGGATTTCTTTAGGTCCTCATCAAGGCGCTTCCCAAGATGTGCAGCATCATTCCAAATGGAGTCAAGTTCCTTGCCTAGTCTGACAACATCCCGATTGTACAGGCATACGGTGTGGATGCAGTCCTGCAGGCCTGCTTGCTTCACCATGTCATTCAATGTTAGTGCCTTCCTAAGCTTAGCATAAAGCATACTTCCAAGTTGGGCCTCCTCATCCACACCCCTGATGGTGTATGTGTCGATGCAGCTTTCCAGGCTGTGATCACAGCAAGCATGGATAAGACCTACCAGCACCTTGTCCAGGTCCTCATCATATCCCTTGCTTCCAGGTGCTATTTTGCTGTATAAGATCTCCTTTGCATTATGCACCTGTTGCAGACAGTCGATAAAGGTGGGCTCCCAGGTGTGCCAGTTGTTATCACTAAGTTTCTTAATGTGTGCAATAGCACTCAAGACATCCTTGGGAATCTTCTCTGCCTCCCCTCTTGGAGCTTGATTGCTAATGCTGACGAGACCCATTGCCTGTACAATTGCCTCCTCTGCTGTCAGTGCCAGGTTTGCTAACTGTAGTATCCTGACCACCTGTGTAAGCCAACCCTCCTCCCAACCATTGCCTGCAGTCACAGCTGCTTGATCATCATCTCTCTCCTCCCTTCCTGTCTGTCCTGCTCATGTTGATGGCAGCATTATGCTTATCGTTGGACTCTTGATGGATGAATGTCGTGGGTTCGAGCCCCACGTTGGGAGCCAGTTAAAGTTTTCGTGTGATTGATGATGATAATGGTGATAGGGGGAGAGAGAGAGCGAGGAGAGAGAAGGAGTCTATATATATAAAAGAAGAGTGGCAGAGAGCCGCATCGACTGCAGAGCATAACAAAGCATTTGTCTTGAGTAGGTTGTGACACATGTGGTCCGTGCTCAGATGCTCAAGCCTTTTACTCGGCCGTAAGCACTACCTTCACCATCTCTATGCTTTGTGTAGCTTTTATCTACTTCAACTAAAAGAACCCTTTTAGATCGCCGTCTTTAGCCCTCGTCATTTCACTGCTGTGTGTGTAAGAGAATGATCTAACAGCTGGGTAAAAATACTTGTACGCCCTGTGGAGAAAAACCTTCACGGTCCTATGAAAAATCTTGGACAACGTCAAGCTGATATTTCTTCTCGATCTTGCTGTCAACTTGCTCGCCATCACTACCATCATCTACTATACCCTTCACCGGACAGCGCTTCGACTTGGAAGCCCTCCAAGCACGCATTCGTCACTATGAGGCTCGACGCCACCGATCTACGTTACATCTCCAGTCAGGAGTTCCGTGTGCTGACTGCAGTAGAGATGGGCTCCAAGAACCATCAAGTCGTTCCCTCCACGCTCGCCGCTCAAATCTGTGGCCTTCATCACTCAGGTATCAACAAGCTGCTCGGATCGCTCGCCAAACGAAATCTCATCGCACGTGTACAGAACACCAAATACGACGGTTATCGTCTCACATATGGTGGATACGACTACCTTGCTCTCCGTGCCTTCTCCAAACGTGACAGCGTAGCTGCAGTCGGCAGACGTATCGGCGTCGGAAAGGAGAGTGATATCATGATCGTCTCTTCACCACATCAAGAGCAGAGAGTCCTCAAGATCCACCGCCTCGGTCGCATCAGTTTCAGAGCCATCAAGGAGAAGCGTGACTACATGGGCAAACGCAAGAGCGCCAGTTGGATGTACATGAGTCGTTTAGCTGCTGCTAAGGAGTACGCATTCATGAAGATCCTCCACCAACACGGCTTTCCTGTCCCTCAACCCATCGATCAAGCCCGTCACTGCATTGTCATGTCTTTCATCGATGCTTTCCCACTGCGTCAGATTGCCCTCCTTCCACCAGATCAGATCCCACTCCTCTACTCCGCTCTCATGAAACTTATCGTTCGTCTCGCAAGAGCAGGTCTCATCCATGGTGATTTCAACGAGTTCAATTTGCTCATTCGCGAGGTTGCAAATCCCAGCGACGACGAATACGAGTCAGATTCAAATAGAGCACAATCAGCCAACGTCTCACAACCCAAGAGCACAAGCACAAGGCAGCAACTCGAAGCACAGCAGAATCAGCCGGGCCTTGAAGCAGAACTGGCAGAAGGGCAAGAGATCGAACGCGGCAAAGGCTTTCAGAGGATAGTTGCCCCAGCATCATTGCAAGTCACGGATGACTCTGAAGACCAACATCTTCAAGAAGGTTCTGAAGAGCAAGAAGAAGACGATCAACAAGATGCAGCGTCAGATGGTCAAGTGCACCTCGGCAACGACGTGACTGTAGAGCCTATCTTGATCGACTTCCCACAGATGGTCAGCATCAACCACGAGAATGCAGAATAGTAAGTTGTTTTGTTGAAGAAACGGATGAACCTCTCGAATAACCTTCACTAACCCGTTCGCCTTTCTTTCCCTTGTGCAGCTACTTTGACCGCGATGTCGAGTGCGTCCGCAGATTCTTCCGCAAGCGTTTCCGATACCATTCTGACGAGTACCCTCGCTTTCAGGATGTGGTTCCAGAACACGCTCGAAAACAGACAAAGCTGCCCAAGACAGCACCAGACGCTCAGAATGGCGAACAGGCCTGCCCGGCACCAGAGAGCGCCGATGTACGTCTTGACCTTTTGGCCAAGGCCAGTGGCTTCAGTGGCACCAAGGAAGACCGAGAGCTTGAGCAGTTTATGTCAGCCTTGCGTCTCAGCACAACCGAGGGCATAATTCAGATCGCTGACTCCAAGGATGACGAGGACGAAGACCAAGACGATGAAGATGAAGATGAAGAGGATGTCAGTCAAGATGGCAGCGACCGCGGCGACGATAGAGATCAAGACAATGAAGATAACCCCGCCGAATCCAAGGAGGATCGAAAGGCCCGCAAAGCTGCTGCAGCAGCTAACGGCCCAAAGATCTCCCGTGGAGCGGCACGAAAAGCTGCGCTCGATGGCGACGATTCCAAGATTGCTCAGCTGGTGGCCTCAGATCGCGCTAAGGCTGCTCGTCGTGCTGAGAAGCATCACGGACGCAAAGCACATGCTGGAAAGGGCGGCAGAGCGCATGCAGGTGGCAAAGCTAAGACAGGAAAAGCACGTATGGTTAGCGACTCTTTAGACTTCTAAACCATCATTACTTGCAATAACATCATTCAACCTCTCACAGCGCTCGCATCTGAACATCTTCGGCTCCTTTAGATACATCGAGAAACCTATGCCACAGTAAGTGAGAGTTACGTACCACGACACACCTGCGTCGTTGCATGAAACGCTTCGCGACCAGCAATGACCCTCAAGGATACGATGCAGTATGTTGCTAAAGTTGACATAGGCCGATATCGTAAAAGATCGGGTAGGACAGACATGGTGAGAGATCGGCCACTTCCCGATCTACTTCAAGGCCACACATCTTTGCAGATGTAGACACACTCTCTAGTTGTGGCAGGTTGATACTCCCACTTTAACTGTCACACCTGTCACAGAGTCTGCCGAGTTCAGTGGAATCAATCAGGAAGAGCCCACCCGGCCAATATCGCAGCTTGTGTCTCAGAAGGACACCATTGGTGTGTTGAGACGCATGTGTCCTCATAGGATTGACAGGACTGTTGTAGGAGGATCATCACTACCACAGATGGAGAGCAGAAGCCACAAGAAGAGGTATGCAGAAGGGGGGCCCGCCACTTAGATGAGGTGGGAGAGAGCCCTATGCAACAAATGAAGTTGATGTAAGTGGATCGTTGCCATCGCTGATGGTGAGTAGGAACTTACACGGAGAGGCATGCAGAGGAGGGCTCTGCCAAGTGGATGAAGTCGGGGAGACCCCTAGGCAATGATGAAGTTGCACTTGTCCTCACCTGATGACAAGGAGCTGGAGGAGCTGGAATTGTGTCAAGGAGGAGCTCCTACAGGACAGGACGAGCAGGACGAGGACGAGCAGTGTAGCAGAGGCTACACTCTTCCCAGAAGGAGTGAGAGCAGTGTTGCAGGCAACACTGCATACATCTATATATACACACGTTCTCTTCACCATAGTAGTTGAGTGGATCCTCATCCACTCTACTCTTAACTAGCTATATCTTTACCATATTGTATACTTAGGTTCTTGTCAACAGTTGCAATTGCAGGGCATTGCTACTACTCTCTGCATGTGTATTGTATCACCACATCTTGTTGTCACCCAAAGGCAGTACCTATACTGCAGCCTGTCATGGGACCAGATGGATGTGCAGGAAGAACTGGATTCATATGAAGAGACTATGTGCAACAATCATGGATTGGGCAAAAGGAGAGTTCCAACAGAGTTCAGTGAGATTGGTAGGAGTGATGGCTGTATGGCAGAACTTGTTGGGATTGGTAGGAACAAGGTCTTACTACAGAGTTCAGTGGGATCAGTAGTACCACACTTGTATGACAGACCTCACAGGAACTGGTTCAAAGACACCTCTATTGCCAATCCCACAAGAGGAGGACAATGGACAAAGAATGGGTTGCCACTGGATGAGGCAGGGGCCCTACACAATGATGAAATTGATGTAGAAGTTGGGTGCCAACATCAGGAGGTAGATGAAAGGGGGGAGCACTGCCACTGGGATGAAGTGGGGCAACCCCTATCAATGATGAAGTGACACTAGCCTTCCTCAACCACAAAGGAACAGGGGCAGCAGTGCTTGACAAGGAAGGTACTCTCTGGAGAGAGAGCCAGAGCAGAGTTGCAGGCAACACTGCAAAGATGTTTATATAACCATGCCTTCCTGTCATAATAGTCAAGTGGATCCCCATCCACTCTACACTTTACTTTACAAGCTATAACTTTCACACAAGTATACTTAGTAGACTCATCAACAGCAGCAATTGCAGAGCATTGCTTCTACTTAGTGCATGTGTTGTATCACACGCTACTTGATGCCATCTGAAGGCAGTACATACTGTTCCAGCTCTCTTGATCTCAACCAAAGGCAGTCGTCCACTGCGGTCTGGGGATCAATCAACCAACTCATCAACACACTGGACACTTGTGTCAAAGCAAGCACATTTGCACCAGACCTTGGTGTCACCTCAGATAAAACTATTGGACCTTGATCATGCCAAGCTACCTCTGGACAGAGTGTCCCCAGTGGTCAGTTGAAATCTGTGATAACCTTCAGTTACAATATATTCAAGTGAGAACAGCCATAGAAGGCTTCTACAGCAGATTCCAGCAAGAACAATAATAGAAGGCTTTTACTACAGATCTTGCCAAGAATAGTTGTAGTTGCCTTTTACTACAGATTTCGGGTTTCAGGTGCATGACCTTTGACACAGCCCAGGCAGCCCAATCAACACCAAAGGTAGTATCTCTACTGTGGTCCGGATACCATCAATCAAAACCATCTTATGGCTGTCAGCCTTACAAATGCTTGGGCAATGACAGACATATCCTTAGAATACCTCAAGCCCATCTATCCTTAAGAACATTGAGCATGCTGCACTACCTTTGAGTGAAGTGTTCACAGCAGTTAGTCAAAACCTGCTGGAAGACAGCTTTCCAACATATCTCGCTGAAATCAGTCGGAAAGAGATTACTTTTCAGATTTCACCGAAATCGATCAGAACCAGCTTTTCCAGCAGAATTCGGGTTTCAGGTGCATGACTGCTGACATTAGAGTGGATCGTTCAAGCAGCACCCCACATTCAAACATGACAGACAAAGGCCTCAACAGAAATCTGGACAGGCTACTCGCCCTGATGGAGGCCTCAGTTAGAGTTCTCCTGACAGGCCCAGTGTGAGGACCAGTTGCATCGCGCTCGCCTGAGTGAAGAAGAGACAACAGCATGATATCAGTCAGAGAGCAGGGAGCAGGCTGATGACTCGATGTCAGGAGCCCTGCTCACGCCCACTCTGGCACTGCACCCACAAAGATCAGTGTTGTTCATGGACCAAGACAAATATCTGTACACAGACCACAAGAAGTACACCTCGCCCACGGGTGCGAGATATACCAAGCCCTGTGCGGAGCTATACAGCAATGAAGAGGAAGGCGACACTAGCGTCATAGGGGAACCTCACTCCACCTAACCTAAGGCACTTTTCACCCCTTTTCCAAAGTCCAATCCACAGGATGTCAAGATCTTTATCCTCAAGACTGAGGCCTGGTTCAGGTTTAACCAGGTCTACAACCACGAAAGCATGATCAACCACACTAGCTCTCAATTGGATGGTAACACTTGTGAATGGTGGACCTCCAAACTCTGTGTTAATCAAGTGCACCAAGGAAAACTGTTCCATGATTGGCAGTTCTTCACACAATGCCTGACTGAGCAATTCAACCCATGCAATGTCAGGGTGGAGGCATATAACAAGTTGCTTAACTTACACCTCAAAAGCGATGTGTCACAGGGTCTGTGCAGAAGACCCTGGACAAACATTGGGTGTGTTGTGCACACAAATTATAAAATCAACTGTGCTGTGGGTTTCTGCTTGATTTTACTGAAGTTGACCAGAACAAGCCCATTTGGTAGGTTTCACCAAATACACTGCAAGAAGCTCCCATTGGTGTGTACCAGGTTGGATGTTCACAGGAGGATGATGGGAAAGTGGGAGGAGGAGGTCTCCATCATTGAAAGAGGAAGAGACAGGCAGGAGGTGATAACATGTGAGGAAGGGGACCGAGCCCAGTGTCAGGGGTCGCATGCCTGAAACCCAATATCTATAGTAGAAAGATAGCTACTACTGATCCTATCAAGATCTGCAGTAAAAGGCCTTTATATTTATTCTTGCTGAAATCTGTTGTAGAAGTCTTCTATGACTTTTTTTGCTCAAATATGTTGTAACTGATATCTATTGCAGATTTCGACTGACCACTGGGGACACTCCACTCAGAGGTAGCTTGGCATGATCAATTTAACCAACAGATGCTGTGTGATGACACCAAGGTCTGGTGCTGATGATGTTGTGGATGCTGACATGAGTGTCCAGTGTGTCAACTGAGTAACTGAGTGATTGCTGGACCACAGTGGATGACTGCCTTTGGTTCTAATGATTGAGAGAGCTGGACTGCAGTATGAACTGCCTTCGGTGTTGATTGATATCTGGACTGCAGAATGAACTGCCTTCAGATGATGTCATTGAGTAGTGATACAACACATGTGCTATGTTAGAAGCAATGCTCTGCAATTGCAACTGTTGACAGAATACTAACTATACTTTCTGTGAAGCTATAACTAGTGATATAAGGTGTAGAGTGGATGGGGATCCACTCAATGGCTATGACGAGGAGTGAGGTTATATAACCATTCTTGCAATGTTGCCTGCAACACTGCCCCTGCTCTGGAATGCCTCTTTAGCACTGCTCCTCCTCCTCCTCATCCTTTCTATCCCTTCTATCCATCCTGCAGTGCTGCTCATCAGCACCGTGTCTGGTGCTTCCTGCAGATGGACAGTCCACACATTGTTTTATCATTGACAGGGGCCATTCCCACCTCATTGGAGCAACAGCTTGCACCCCCTTTCATTTCTCCCATCTACCAGCCCTGGATTCATTACCAAGCAGGTCCCCTGCTTCATTGGTGGCAGACCCAGATGTCCTTGCCACCCATTCATGATATTGATGTCCTCTTGCTGGTTTCAGTGAGATCTGTCATACAATCACAATACTACTGATTCTGGTGGGCTTTGCTGTAAGCTCCTGCTCTTACCAATTTGAGCAAGATCTGTTGTAGGACCTCTCTACTACCAATCTTGATAGATTTGGCTTTTGGACCCTTGTTCGGCCCAATCTGACGATTCCTGCGCCACTCCTCATATGCTTCCAGATCCTCCTGTGCATCCGGTCCTATGACACCCAGGAGCACGTGTATGGTTACCACATGGGGAGACGGTTTCATGCATGTTGAAGAGATGACCGCATGGAGCGGGAGATGGCCGTAGGGGCGACCGCATGGACGAAGAACATGACAACCGGGTGACCATGAGGTCAACCACATGGAACGAGAGGAGGACGATAGGAGTGACTGTGTGGACAGGGAGTAGGACAAGAGATATGTCCACAAGGTCAGGAGGATTCACAAGCTAGGAGAAGTGTAGGGAGTTGATCCTACTGCCTAGGAGGAAGCGGAGCAGTGTCGAGGAGACTGACACTACTCAGGAAGAAGAAGAGCAGTGTCCAGGAGAGGGACACACTTCTCAGGAGGAGCAGGGGAGCGGTATCGCCAAAACACATATATACTCCCATTTCACTATAGTATACAAGTGGTTCTCCATCCACTCTACTTACTGCTTAACTTACTCTTTACTTAGTTCTGTATCATTGCAATAGCAGTGCTTTGCAAAGACATTCCAAGTGCATGTGTTGTATCACCATTGGACATCAACTGTAGGCGGTGTTCTACACTGCAGTCCAGTCTCTCTCCATCTGTAGGCGATACTCTATTCTGGCCCAGATACCTTCCACCTTCATTGAGGGACTGTCAGCATTACGAACACTCGTGCTGCCACAGGTGTCAATCCATTATACTTAGCTATAGCCTTAGCAAGACATTCCCATTCCACAGTCGTGTGGTCAGTCAAAACCTACCAGGAATAAGTCTTCTGGTTCCTTTCACTGAAACCTACCAGAAGTTGGCCTTCTGATTCCTTTCACCAAAACAGTTCAGGAAGAGCTTACTCGATTGATCTCGCCAAGATCAACCAGGATCGTCAGACTCAGGTTTCAGGCACATGACCACTTACACTTGTGTGAGTACATTCCCCTGTGTGGTAACCATACACATGCTACTGGGCTTGGTCCCCTTCCTCACATGTGATCACCCCTGCCTGTCTCTTCCTCTTTCAGTGATGGAGACCTCCTCCTCTGACTTTCACATTGGCCTCCTGTGAATGTCCAACCTGGTACACACCAATGGAAGCTTCTTGCAGTGTATTTGGTGAAACCTACCAAATGGGCTTGTTCTGGTCAACTTAAGCAAAATCAACCCAAAACCCACAACACAGTTGATTTTAAAATGTGTGTGCATGACACACCCAATGTTTGTCCAGGGTCTTCTGTGCAGACCCTGTGACAACCTTCCTACTGATGGTAAACTCATTGGTGTATGATGGGTATACAAACTGAAGCTTGACGCTCAACGGCGCACCATGTAATACAAGGCAAAGTTCATAGCCCACAGATACCCACAACAACCTGGCTTAGACTATGTTCAAACCTTCAGCCCAGGCATTTGTCTCCAAACTGTGTGCATCCTCCTCACTCCTGCTCACTGATATATAGGCTACAAGCTGCCCAGCTTGATGTGAGTACTGCATTCTTGAATGGGAAAATAGACAAGACCATCCATGTATGGTTCCTGTCACAGGGTCTGCGCAGAAGACCCTGTACATGCATGGATGTGCAGTGTGCGCACATAATTGTGAAAACAGTTGGATCGCTTAGTTACAATTGTTTTTGGTAAAAACGGTCATAGCGAGTGTCAGAGGTCTCGTGCCTGAAACCTGATATCTGTGATAGAAATGCATCTATTACGAATCCTGTCAAGATATGTGATAATGTGTTGTGTATTACTGTTCTTGTCAATATATGTTGTAGAGAGGACTCTATGACTTCCCTCACTTGAACCTGTGATAGATTGACTGCTATTGTAGGTTTCAACTGACCACTGTGGACACTCCATCCAGAGGTAGCTTGGCACAATCAATAACTATTAATGTATTAGAATGACACCAAGGGCTGGTATGAATGATGTTGTTGGCATTGACATGAGTGTCCAGTGTGTCGACTGAGTGCTTGAAGTGATCCCCAGACTGCAGTGGACAACTGCCTTTGGTTCTATGATTGTGAGCTGGACTGCAGGTTGCTATGAACTGCCTTCAGATGTCAGTGAGCTGTGATATGACACACACACTCCAATGGAAGCAATCTATTATGATTGCAACTTGCTGACAGAAACTAAGTATACTTATGTATTGCTATCAAAAACATCTGTGATCCTTGTTACAGTAGTAACTACAGTACTGCATTCTTGCAATGGAGATCTTGCTCTTGATCCAACCATCCCAATACTGTATAGTGACCCTTCAGGTGATCACATCATTGCCAATGATCTGCAGCATTTCAAGAGGATGAAGCATATTGATATTGCACACTTCTTCCTGAGAGACAAAGTAGCTGATGGCCGCCTCACAATTGCCCTGATACAAAGCAGTGAGAACCTTGCCAACATCTGACAACTATTTGGTCTGACAGTACCAAGAGTATTCTGGATCAAGAGGGGGTGCTGAAGGAATTGAAGAATACCAAGGCTATACGCTGTCCGGAGCTACTAACAAGCTCATATCCACAGGCATATGTTCTTGAGAAAGGTCTTGTATTTCTTGTTCATCAGTTACATCCTTAATGAGCATATATATACCTTATTGCTATCTTTGATCATGTCCAAATGAGATGAGCTATCTCCTATAGGGCCCCTGAGTTGCCACCTTCTGTGGTATAGCACATGATCCATTGGTATGGCAACCCTCATGTGCTTCATTGTCTTCATTGCCTGGGCATGTTCTCGGCCCCTCGGTGTCTCGGCTAATGCTCGCGTATCCAGGTTGGAATGCTGACGCATCTTCAACTGAAGGTAACGATCCAGCAAGACACAGAAGATGACACGAACAGATCTGATAAGGAATCGGGCAAAGCTGATACAAGTGAGGGATCGGGCACTACTGGGTCCCACTTGTTGTCGTACTTTGTCATTAAGAAGGATGCACCCACTTTTGGGGATGTGCCGCAAATGTATATAGATTTAGAGCTGAGAGCTCGAGGCTCCCACCAAATTCTTTCCCCTAGGTCAATATAGTATAGTGTTTTGCTCAATAGCTTGAACACTGTGCTTAGACTGATATCTCCCGATAAGCGTCGCTAAATGTCACTTCTTTTATCATGAGTTAGTCAATCGAGTATAGTGTTTCTGCCCCAATAGCAGCAGTACTGTGCTCTGACTGTCGTCGACCGCTGAGTGTCGACATCCGTCCTCCTTTTAATCTTTTATCATTACTTTATCAATGACAGATGCCTGCATACATAATTTTGATTTCAACATCTTCTTGACCAACATTTTTTTATTGAGTCCATCACTCGGTGGAATTGGTGGCGAAAGATTGACCTCAAATGTGACAAAAGAAAAATCAAACCTGAAAAAGCGCAAAACTGTTTTCCAGCCAAAAAAAAAAAAAAAAAAAAAAACAATCTTTTGTTGAAAATATGATAGAATACGGGTGTCGACACTCAGCGGTCGACAACAGTCTAAGCACAGTGTTCAAGCTATTGAGCTAAACACTATACTATATTGACCTAGGGGAAAGAATTTGGTGGGAGCCTCGAGCTCCCCGCTTGATATATATACAAAATATCGGCACATGCCAGAAGTGGGAGCATCCCCCTTTATGACCAAGTATGACAACGAGGGGGAGGTATTTTTGCCCGGTCACTCACTTGTATTGGCTCCACCCGATTCCCGATCAGATCGGCTCTGCGTGATTCCTTATCACCACCCTGCTGGATCGTATCCTTCAGCAAGCTATTCAGCAAAAACACTATATTATATTGACCTAAGAAAAGAATGTGGTGAGAGCCTCGAACTCTCTCCTTGATATATATACAAAGCGTCGGTACATCCTACATGTGGAAGCATCATCTTCAATGACAAAGTACGACAACGAGCGGGATAGTATCCGATCGACGATTAGATCGGCTCTGCTCGATTCCTCGAGAGATCGGTTCTACCCGATCTCTCGTCATATCGACTTATGTCACTCTTCGTGTCCTGCTGGATCGTTATCTTCAGCAAAGCCGATACGAAAGAGACGGGGTACTGCTGAGTCCCGCTCGTTGTCGTACTTCGACATTAAGAGGGATGCGCCCAGCTTTAGGCATGTGCCGCAACTGTATATTGATAAAATAATAGGAGGACGGTTGTCGACGTTTATCGGGCGATTTTAGTCAGAGCACAGTGTTCCAGCTATTGGGAAAAAAACACTATACTATATTGACATAGGGAAAGAACATGGCGGCAGCCTCGAGCTCTCAGCTGTTGAAAGAATAGTAGAATGCGGGTATCGACGCCTAGCGATCGCAAACAGTCTAAGCACAGTGTTCAAGCTATTGAGCAGAAACACTATACGATATTGACCTAAGGAACGGGGTGGCAGCCTGGAGCTCTCTGCTTGATATATATACAAAGTGTCGGCAGATACCCAGGGATGGGCGCATCCTCCTTAATGACGAAGTACGACAACGAGTGACACAGTTGTTCCCGATCCGTCACTTGTATCGTCTCTGCCTGATCCCCGATCAGATTCGTTCGTGTCATCTTCAGTGTCTTACTGGATCGTTACCTTCAGCATTGTCAGCCGCTGAGTGTCGACACGTCCTTCTTTGATCTTTCAACAAAGGAAGCAAACTTGAAAATCGAATTCTGTCATGATGTTTAATAAAAGATGACATTTGGCGACACTCAACGAGTGAAATCATTTAAAGCACAGTACTGAGAACTGATATGACACTTAGCTGCTGAAGATTACGCTCCAGTGAGACGCTAAAAGGATGACGCGGAGCCGATCTGATCAGAGATCAGGCAGAGTCAATATAGTAGGAATCGAGGACTGCTGAGTCCCACTCGTTGTCGTACCTCGTCATTAAGTAAGATGCTCCCACTCCTGGTATGTGCCGACACCATATATATACAGCTCGCGCATAAACTGTCCCACAAATTTACATGTCACCATACATCACTCTAATGTTCAATAGCCATAAGTTGTATTGCCACACTGTCTGATATCATCTGAAAGCCCTGCTTCTTCTCTCCAAGACTGTGTAAATGATATTGACATTGACTAAGAAAATTGTGCTATGAAGAAGAGCCAAGAATTTTTTTTATTGTGGGACAGTTTATGGAGCATGCTCCCAAATAGCAACACCACTCCATTCCTGACCTTGACCTTGTGGGCTTTTGACTACAATGAAACTTGCAATGTAACTTGGTGGGCACCTTCATACACATTGAAAGTAGTGACATGGAAAGTTTCAGCTCAATCAGATGACTGTGAGCAATCCAGTGGTGCTTCCAGTCTGACACCATCATATCTATACCATCATGCCAAAAACCACCCCTGAGAAGTGCCATTTGGCACTCTTTCACTTCCAAAATGGGGAATCTACCTGTTCAGTTGCCTAGCAACTGGGTATGAGCAAGTCTACTGTGAATTGCATCAGCAAAAGCACCTCTGCTGTTGTTCCAAAGTCAAAGGGGGGCCAGCTAAGAAAACTCCAGCCTCATCATGTTTGCTTCCTGGACCACTATTTTGAGCTCAATTCAACCTCCACAGTCAGGAAAGCATGTCATGCACTGCAGGAGACATTTCAAGTCAAAGCATGCCCAACCACAGTAAGAAAAGCACTTCATTACTGTCATTACAAAGCACAGAGGTTAGTGAAAAAACTGAAGCTACTCAAGAGACATTACAAAGCCTGTCACAAATTTGCTAATGAGCATAAGGACATGACTGTTGAGGATTGGAAGAATGTGGTATGGTCCAATGAGACAAAGATCAACTTCTTTGGACCAGATGGTAAGCAGTTCTGTTGGATTAAGAATGCCAGCTTCAACAGCAAGCTTGTCAGGCCAATGATCAAGTTTGGCAGCAGCTTCATCATGATCTGGGGCTGTATGACATGGGAAGGGGTGGGAGGTATGTGCTTGGTGCTGGGTTCAATGAATTCAGACCAATACATTGATATCTTGAATGACAAGCTTGTGAAAACAATCTCAGATTTGTGGCTTCAGCATGCATACACCAACATCACATTTCAGCAAGACAATGACCCAAAACACATGTCAAAGAAGACAACAACATGGTTGACAAGCAATAGCATTAAGGTTATGCAATGGCTGGTGCAGTTGCTGGACTTAAACCCAATTGAACACCTCTGGCACCATCTCAAAATGCAACTTTCATGGTATAGTACAATTGCAAAGTCCAGGGATGAACTGCTCAAGAGATGTGAAGCTGAATGGACAGCAATCACTCCAGAGACATGTAGGACACTAATAGAGAGTATGCCAGACTGCATCAAGGTGGTTCTGAAGGCCAAAGGAGGGAATATGAAGTACTAAGGTGTTGTTGAGGAGTGCTCCATAAACTGTCCCACAATAAAAAAAATTCTTGGCTCTTCTTCATAGCACAATTTTCTTAGTCAATGTCAATATCATTTACACAGTCTTGGAGAGAAGAAGCAGGGCTTTCAGATGATATCAGACAGTGTGGCAATACAACTTATGGCTATTGAACATTAGAGTGATGTATGGTGACATGTAAATTTGTGGGACAGTTTATGCGCGAGCTGTATATCAAGCAGAGAGCTCGAGGCTACTACCTGTTGTAAAGTGAATATGTTTGGTCCTGATAACTGGCAATCGGGGAGAATCTGAGTACAATGTCACTGCTGTTTTAGACAGAAACATATATACTCAATTGACTAAGAGAATGCAGTGAGAGCATAGAACTCCTAGCTTGATATATATACATCATCGTGGCACATGCCAAATGTGGGAGTTGTTATACTTAATGATCCAACCTGACAACAAGCGGGACTTGGTTGTACCCAATCTCCGATCAGGTCGGCTCTGCATCATCCTTTAGCGTCTCACTGGATCGTAATCTTCAGCCTCTCGATCCAGTGGGCTCCTTCAACGTCATCAAGCCAAATAGCTCCCAAATGTGCATGAGTGTCAGTGCTGTGAGCAGCTTAGTCAGTATATCAGCAATGTTCTCACTACTCTGGACTGGAGCAACTGTGAGTTGCTGGCTTGCAACCTCATCTTGCAGGAAGAAGTGAGCAATGTCAATGTGCTTTGTCCTCTTGAAATGTTGAGGATCACTTGAAATGGTGTGAGCCCCTGATGAATTGCTGTACAGGACTGGTACACCTTGATTGAAGGCAAGTTCACCATCCTGAGAGTGGATAATCAAGGTCCCAGCACTTCTGTGGATCCCAGCCATCTTTGGTGCTGGTTGCTGTAGCTTGTGTAAGAACATTGAAGTCCATAGTAGCTCTCTGGTGTCATGGGCCTGGATGCGCAGGAAGTAGGAAGACCCGTAGTTCATATGAAGGGAGCGCAGGAATCAAGGAATCGGGCAGATTGTGGGATCTACAGAAGAATTCAGTGAGATCAGTAGTAGACATGGTTCTATGACAGATCTCATTGAGATCTGCATGAACGAAGTTGATATCACAAATTCTGCCAGAATCTGTAGTAAGCATGATCATATGGCAGATTCCACGGAGATCAGTGATAAGGATGTTCATATGACGATTCACATGCGAGGAGGATCAAGCACTACCAGGATGGGGACCAAGCTCAAGAAGCATGCAGACAGTTACCACTCAGGGGTTCACAAGATAGGAGTCAAGAGAACCATCGCCGGTTAAAGGAAGAAGAGCTGTGCCAAGGACACTGGCAAGCAGGTCATGAGGAGGAGGAGCAGTGTCGAAGGAGTCAGCACACAGCTCAAGAAGGACAGACAGGAGCAACAGGCAAGCAGGGCTCGATGAGGAGGAGGCATCTCATCAGGGACCCCTGTACAGTACTTGGCAAAGAGGGTACTCTCTGGAGAGAGAGCTGGAGCAGTGTCACTGGCAATGCTGTGAAGAGGTATATAACCATACCTTCTCACCATAAGTGGTCGAGTGGATCCTCATCCACTCTACACACCATATAAACTAGTTATCACTTCAGCATAAGTATACATTAGTTTCAGTCAGCAAGTAGTAATCAATAGATTGCTCCTCATTGTAGTGCATGTGTTGTATCACCACTCACTGATGTCCAAAGGCAGTTCATAGCAAACCAGCAGTCCAGATTAAGATAGAACCGAAGGCAGTAGTCCACTGCAGTCCGGGGATCACCTCAAGCAATAGTCAACACACTGGACACTCATGTCAACACCACCAACTTCATCACCAATAAGTTACTCACACCAGACCTTGGTGTTACCATAACCTACATATTGATATTGATCATGCCGAGCTACCTCTGGATGGAGTGTCCACAGTGGTTAGTTGAAATCTGCAATAGCATTACTACAATCACAGATTCGAGCGAGAAAAGTGATAGAGATGGCTCTATCACATATTTCACTAAGAATCGCAATACCACTAGTGTTGTCACATAACTCGACAGGATTGGTAATAGTATCGACACTATTACAGATCTCAGGTTTCAGGCACACGACCACTGACATCTGGCAGCTCCTGCTAGTGCTACATATTCAGCTTCTACAGAGCTGTTTGCTACCATTGGCTGGAGTCGCAAGGACCAGCTACACACAAGCCTGTCAATGATGAAGGCATACCCTGAGGTTGATCTCCTACAGCTGTGTGAACCAGCCCAATCACTGTCAGCCCACCCTGCAAGCATCTGTCCACTGGCATGTGTCCCTGCTGAGAGGCTGATTCCTACAGTTCCCTTGAGATACCTTAGGATATGTTTAGCTGCTGCAAGGTGCTCACCTGATGGGTTTGCAACAAAGCAGAAGTCATATGAGGAGGAGCGCAGGAATCGAGGATCGGGCAAATCGAGGGTTTTACAACAGAGTTCATTGAGATCTGTAGTAGAGAGGCTCTATGACAGATCTCACCCAGATTGGCATGAGCAGGGATTGTACCACAAATCCTGCTGGGATCTGTAGTATCATGATCGTATGATAGATCTCGCAGGGACCAGTGAGCGGGCACCGATTTCACAGGTATCACGACAAGATAAGATGCTGAGGACATTGGACTTGCCACCTGATGAAGCAGGGGGTCAACTTGACAATGAACCCAAGGACAGGAGGATGGGCGAGATGAAAGGGGGCATGAATCGTCACTCAGATGAAGTGGGAATGGCCCCTGTCGATTATGAAGCAGCACGAGAACTGTCTGTCATAGGACTAGAAGCGCAGAAGCAGAAGCCTTATGAGAAGCAGAAGTCTCATGAGGAGGAGTGCAGGAATCAAGGATTGGGCAAATCAAGGGGTTTACAACAGAGTTCATTGAGATCAGTAGTAGAGAGGCTCTATGACAGATCTCACCCAGATTGGCACAAGTGAGGATGGTATCACAAATTCTGCCAGGATCTGCAGTATCATGATTGTCTGATGGAACTCACATGGGTGCCAATTGCACAGACATCTCAGCAGGACAAGATGGTAAGAGCATTGGGTTTGCCACCCTGATGAAGCAGGGGGCCAACTTGATGATGAACCCAGAGCAGGAGGGTGGTGTCAGGGGTCTCGCGCCTGAAACCCAGGTCGGTCTGTCGAGATACTCGGTGACTATCAAACTGTGCGACAGCTATTGTCTCGGTATCGGTGACTATCAAGTTGCACAGTGACAGCAGGTGGCGTTCATTGTATATACTATCATAGGTTTCGGCTGACCTCTGTGGACACTCCATTCAGGGGTAGCTTGGCACGATCAATATCAATGCTATGATGACACCAAGGTCTGGTGTGAGTGTTGATAATGATGAGGTTGATGACATTGGTGATAAGGTTGGTGGGTGTTGATGATAATGAGGTTGGTGGTGTTGGTGATGAGGTTGGTGGTGTCAACACAAGTGTCCAGTGTGTTGACTTGATGCTTGAAGTGATCCCCAGACCACAGTGGACTACTGCCTTCGGTTCTATCTTGATCCGGACTGCTAACCTGCTATGGGTGCCTTTGGACATCAGGTAGTGGTGATACAACACACACACTATGATGAGGAGCAACCTTGATAGATTGCTGCTATGCTGACTGAAACTAATATATACTTATGCTGAAGTGATAACTAGTTATGGTGAGTAGAGTGGATGAGGATCCACTTGACCTATGATGATGAGAAAGCATGGTTATATACCTCTTCACAGCATCGCCAGTGATGCTGCTCCTGCTCTCTCTCCAGAGAGTACCTTCTTCATCGAGTACTGCTCAGGGGCCTCTCCTGCTTGGCGCCCCTGTGCCTCTTGAGTGGTGTCGACTCCTTTGACACTGCTCCTCCTCCTCATGACCTGGTGTCGACTCCCTCGACACTGCTCCTCCTCCTCATGACCTGGTGTCGACTACCTCGACACTGCTCCTCTTCCTCAGGACCTGCTTGCCAGTGTCCTATGACTCTTGTCTCTTGAGCCCCTGAGTGGTAACCATCTGAGCTTGGTCCTCTTCATGGCTGTGCCTGCTCCTTGAGCTTGGTCCTCCTCATGGCTGTGCCTGGCCCTCCTTGCATGTGGCTCGGTTCTCCTTTGCATGTGAGTCCATAGGAGTCCATGGTCTCCATGGAGACTGCACTATGACCATGCTCTCTACTGGTATCGACTAGATCTTCGATACCTGTGCTCCTTCCATATGAACCCATGACCCTCCTGCTTCTTGAGCATCCAGGCCCATGACACTACCCCCCTCTTAAGAGCCGAGCTCCGTCGAGGCATGCTCTGGTCTGGTTCATGCTGACTCCTCCTCCTCCTCCTCCTCGACAACATTGCCAACATCATCCTTCCTCCTTCTCTCAACGTCATCCTCCTTCCTCTTCCTCTCTCTACTCCTCCTGTTCTCTCTTCCTCTCTCTACTCCTCCTGTTCTCTCCTCCTTTCTCTACTTTGTCTACTCACTTGTCCCCCCTCCGACACCTCATACTCCTGGATGAGGTCGGGACAGTTGAGGTTCTCTACTGGTTCCCATGAAGCAGCTTCTTCTGAGTACCCCCTCCACAACACCTTGTACTCTGTAGTCCCATTGTGTGAACGCTTGTCAATGAGTGCTTCAACTTCGAAGTCAAGGTCCTCATCTGGAAGTGATGGTATGGTGGGCTGTTCAGCATGTTGAGGAAGAGAACTTGTTCTTGCTGGCTCGAGCATGGAGACATGGAACACATCATGCACCCTAAGGTTTGCTGGCAATGTGATTCGATAAGCTCGGCATCCTACCCGTTCCTGAACTGGGTAGGGTCCTGCAAACCGGGTATCTAACTTGGGTGTGGGTCTCTGTGTCTTCCAGTTTCAACGGTTGATATAGACCATATCACCCACCTTAAACTTGATGTCCTTGTGCTTCCTGTTATACTGGTCTACTGATCTACGTTGTGCCTCTCTGATCTGCTCCTGGAGGTACTTGCAACGCTCCTTTCCATCCATGAGGTACTCAAAGCGACCTGGGTCATTGACTCCTAGTCGTTGAGGGATGTCAGGATGAGCTTTGGGGTTCCATCCATAGCATGCAAAGAATGGTGAGACACCAATGCTGTTGTGGACCATGTTGTTGTATACAAAGGCTGCAGTGTCCAGCAGGTTGGCCCAGTCATCCTGCTCATAGTTGCAGTACATCCTGAGGTATTGCTCTATGACCTGATTGACCCTCTCTGTCTGACCATCGGTTTGAGGATGGTAAGCCATGCTAAGTGAGTGCTTCACACCCATTTGCTCTGCAAATGCCTTCCATGCTCCTGATATGAACTGCCTGCCTCGGTCCGAGACCATGTGATCTGGGTATCCGAAGAGTCTAACCATGTGTCCATATAGCAACACTGCAGTCTGTTTGGCCATGACTGTCTTATGGGTTGGAGCTAGTATGGCAAACTTGGTTAACCTGTCAACAATGACTAAGATAGAGTCATAGGTCTTGGAGTCATACTTCTTCGATGGTGGTAGTCCTTCGATGAAGTCGAGGGATATGGAGCCCCAGGGCCTGTCTGGTGTTGCTAGTGGCTGTAGCAAACCATATGGATGATGACAAGGAGCTTTGTACCTAGCACATACAGGACAACTTGCTACATAGTCTGCAATCCAAGCTGTCATGTTTGGCCACCAGTAATGTCGTTGAGCTGCCTTGATGGTAGCATCTCTTCCTACATGTCCAGCAGTGATACCATTATGGCATTGGGTCATCACCATGAATCACAGATGCTCTACAGAGAGAGACTGTCCATCTACCTCTTTGGCACTCCTTGAGTGTCAGTTGTTGGTCCTCCCTGGCATGATCACTT